AAAATTATGGTGAAAGTGCTACCCTAAAGACAGGTTATGCTGAATGTTAGAAATATACAATAATTCTCCCCAAGATGGTCATCCTAAATGGGGTCGTAAATCCTCGAGATGGTCATTGTGTACGTCATTTTTTTTTCTTTATTTATTTACATTTATGTTTTTTTATATCATAAAACGTGCATGTACCCGTGTGTAACCGTATCTTGTGTGATTCACGAAAGAGGGCGGGTCAGTCGGTGGTATATATTTTGCCTTAAACATGGGAGCTCTTTCCAAAACCCGAGACAGAATGCAGCTTGTGACGATATGCATGGGCGAGGCTACATGGGGACCCAAACATTCATTGGTAGACATTTTGGCGGGTTTTGTGTTAAGGAATCTCATTGGTTTCGTTTAATTGCCCTATAGGCCGCGCGTTAAGACCATATGGAGTCAACAAATGAGTGATGACATGCCAGAGTTGGACTTTGAATTCAAGATAGGAAGAAATCTCACGACTTTTCACCTGGCTACTTGATCCATTGACTTAACTTTATAATGCATTGGGCATGCATAAATTTGCGTATTCAGTGCATAATATTCAAGTTGACTCATTCAAGAGAGATGTAAGAGTGTTGTTTAATTTTGACTTATCCACCGTTTAAGCTAAATACGGGCTTGATACAACCGCCCCCAGGAAGATATTTTTTGATTTGCATGCGGGTAAATTATAGGAAAATTCAACAAGCCCTCGCACAATCTGGTGGAAGGATAAATATTTCGTTCCCTTTTCTGTAAAAAAATCCTTTAATAAGGAAAAAAGGGTACTTGTCTAGCTTCATTTCATCTGAGACCTTCTCAAATTAACACACATAGTCAGAGATGTTCTAACTCTCGCAATGTGAAAAATGAACAGACTAGTGTTGTTCGCGGAATCACACTTTAGAACAACTTATATTTACCAGTGAGCCTTTGTATTTTCCATATCATCGTCTGAAGCAACTTGAATTCTGAAATCCAGAACAGAAACATCGCCAAACTCACTTGACCAGTGTGGATCACCAAATGGTTGAACAGTTTCATTATTTGATGGGACGCCCCATGTTACAGTGCCATTTATGTAACCAAACAATATATACCCACCACCATCTGTTGTCATGTCACAGTAGACCTGGGTGGAACCGTGAAAAGGATACATGTAGCTAATACTATATAGTTGGTGAAACAAATCATCGTTGGACCACCTAATAGGGGGTTATTAGACTGTGAATCGTTTCAATCAGCATAGGTTCATACAAGGTTTGCATTGGGCAGGAATACATACCTTTATGACCACGAAAAGTTAAAAGTTACCTTTTTTGGTTTTCCTGCATTGAAATCTACCCAATAATATCCATCTTTCGATTTTGTGTTCTTGTTTAAAATATCCAGGCAGTCGTAACCAGGATTAAAAAATTCTCCAGGTGGTTTCGAATCTATTATAAATATTTTGAAACTGAAATATTTTATCACAGGTAGAAAATAAAGTATTTGCATTTCAGTACAACGACGCTCGATAATCGACAACAACGGTAACGTTTTCTACTTTGTAGTTTGTTTTACTTACTGTCAGTCGTCTTCCAACTAAAAACTTCATCATTCTCAGTACAAACTAATATGGTATCTCTGTTCTCTCGATCTTTTATTAGTATCTGTTCGCCATGATTTGATTTTGAACAGCTTCCGGGATCATGAGTTTTTCGGACTGTCAACATCTTAAAGAAATTATTGGGTTTTGAAATAAATAACTAAAAGAGCCCCAAAAACTTTTTTCACATCTTTCGAAACTGATTGGAAACAGGAAAATCGTAGGAATGTACTAAATTATCTGTGTTGAATATGATATAGTCTTCTTTACGTGCTTTCGTTAACGGTTAAACACAGTAACACCAGCTTCTGAAAGATTAGAGTATTCATTGGTATGGTACACGGTAATTCAACATTCATCCGCTTTCTTGTCGGGTTACTTTCATTTCCCTCTAGTCCATTAAGACGTAGGTAATTCTATATATAGTTGCCTTTCGTTTTGATTTGGGCTTAAAACAAAACACGAAAAAATACCTGTGCGTTGAATAAAGAGAGCAAGAACAATGCTGCAGTAACAATTGCAAATTTAAGCATCTGAAATGAAGTTATTGTATATAAGCATCATGTGAAATACTTTAGCTTGATGATGTGCTAACTCTCCTGATTTCAAACTGTTACACAATATTCATCAAAAGATGACCAGTTACTAATTTACCATAAAACGCAATAAAGTTACACCACAGATTTTGCTACATGTAGCTACAATTTTTTGTATGCTTTTGTAATTGTAAATCGCAGCCAAAGACGTAACTGTAATTATAAACCGTAGCCGTATCAAATTGTTCATTTCAGACTGGCAGCCAAAGAATTTCTCATGTTTCTTAATAATTATATATTGAACCCTGGTCGCACTTCTTGTATTTTTAAACTATACGAGAGTGTGTTTGTCTGCATTTAATTTGTTTTATATTAGTAACACTTTTTTCAACTCACACCATCTGTAAAATTGTAATTCACAGCAGTCAATCAATATTAAGTAGTCAGTTCTCAATTTTCTCATATTTCAATGACATTGACTCTCAAGGCTGGTTTTCATTTTTCGTCGTAATTGTTCGTCAACATGTCAAGATGGTTCTTATATTAGAATGCTGCAGTGCAGTCAACAATTACAATTTTCATACAGAGTATTAGTATATCGAACAATTTCCCTCAACAGTATTTCGTTTAAAATGACTTGTTCACGACAATTACGACTGAATCAAACCTAGTAGGAAAACTAAATGAAAATTCCATCGCACGGCGAAATACTAAACGTCAAACTACTTGACCTCGCTTCAGTTCCGTATAGAATCCTTTGGTATTCTCCTCTTCAACACGGGGATTTAGGTGGCCAAGTTGTATTTCTATTCAGAAATAATTAGAAATCAAGAGTCCTGTTTATTATATTATATACTTTCTGCGAACGAGAGGGTAGTGAAATTTAATACATTTTGCAGTGAACCAAATATTTTTAGTCATAAGTAAGTTTATCAATACGGGAACCTTTAGCGTGGAAATAAAATATTGCAATCATGGGAGATAGCTTTTGACAATGATTTCGCACAATTAAGGTCGTCAATATGTTATTATGTGAGTAAATTTTCTTCGTAAAAACAGCCAGACGATGCCGATCGTCTATTATTGGTGACATGTGACTTATATGATAAGAAAGCAAAGCTTTAGTTTGATATCTAGGTTAACAAAATAAGATTTACCTCAACTTCTATTAGCAGAACGAAAATGATCGATAAACACCAAAGATTCCACGCAAAAACAAAATGAAAGTGACCAGTGCGATGCTTTTGAATAATGTCTCTTGAAATTCTATATTTGCGTTTTTGCAGATAGAAATTTAAAACTCTTCTATTCGCCAATCTCTTTATTAAAACAATCACGATTTACGGACGACGAGTGATTAATTCAGTCATCACATTGACACGAGAGTTAAATCAATTCAGATTGATTGAACTTTAGTCCGTCAATATGAAATAGTACTTAATAATCAGATTAAGCTGGAAGTTTTACGCGGAAACAATTTAAGCCGGATTTATTATATAATTTCGCTTCCAATTATATCTGTTTCTCTTAATAATTATGATCATTTTACAGCTATTATAGAGTACATCTATAAAATAGAGATTTTACCAGTGGTGGACCCAGGTTAAGGCAAAACTAAGGCTACAACATAACTCTACGCATTGGTTGATTTTTAAAGATTTAGATGTTTTCTTTTCAAATCAGTACCCAATAGCGTTGTTAATAAAGTCAGGCGCACACGACGATTTTTGTCGTACGATTTTAGTCAGTCGACTAAATCCTTGCGTGCGCGATGTCATTTTTTAGCGATTTTAGTCGGCAGACTGCAATTGGAATGTATATCAAACCTGTTTGATATCGGCCGACTAAAATCGCGTCGTGTGCGCCTGGCCTAAGGTACTTAAATAATGAAATTATTCAGGTAATTATTCTGCCTATATATAACTCCACGATCCGTCACTAAATTCATTATCACGATTATTTTAATTAATATTATATTATGTACAAGCATAAACGGGCCTTAATTACATATATATACGACCTTTTAACGATTATATAGTGATCCCAATTTCTTAAAGAATTTTATTACGTGCAACTGCAAAAAGTTTGTCATTCAATGAAATAATATTACTTAGGAATTACCTTGTTCCTGAATGGGTTTGGTGATCAGTAAAAATCGTAGTCGCTATTGAATTTATTATAGAACGAATTGTGCAAAACAAAATAAAGAGGTCTTAATCGTTGCACTCGCAGATCTAGTATAAATTTCCTTTTTTAGCAATCCGTAATCTTTGGGCTCCCCTCGTACGGCACTTCGCTTAATTATGTGAATTCTCTAACGTCGATTTGTGGTTCATGGCTAGAAATCATGGATATGCTGTCACTACGCACGCGAAATATTTCCCCATATGGTATTACAATAGAAATCACTGAGGAGTGTATTGATTTCCATATTTTATACAACTGCTGTGTTTTCATTTTTGATTGCAAGCTTCCGATCTCATAGGTCGATTTAACAACTGTTTGACAAGAAAATGCCGTTTCACAGCAACATTTTCATTACCCCTGCTGCATGTAAAATCCTATATTTTTATCATATTTGAGTGGGAATTACTTATATTTGTACATCGACCATATGAGATTGATGTACAAATATATATAACTGACGTGAGAAACTTACCGTTTCCCGTTTCAATGATGCACTCTATGAATGCCGACCTTTCCTTGCCTTCCACTAAAACATCTTTAAATATTCATTTGCCTGTCTCCTTCATTGCTCTGCAAATTTCGTAAAATTAATGTAATTTGACAACTTTAAGCTACATGACATTGCCATTTTGAATATGAATATGAATACTATTAACTGCGACTAACCGCTGAAAAGCATCGGGCGCATTGTCCACGATTTCTAGTCATGCAAGATCCAATTCTAAGCACAGTAGATATGATGATTGTGGAATTTATCGAGTATTTGGAATATATTTAGGATTATATCAAATCTGAATATCCTGCAGCAAGAGCCAAATCAACTTATAAATGGATACTCTATTATATGAATTCAATGGACCCACAAATTTAAAGCGTATTCTCTTTGAAGGTTGTTTTCGACATAATAGTAGCCATGACCTGGCTCATAACCGAAATCTGCGTAGGCTACAACCTCTCCAAAAATTGCCGAATCAGCTTCTGTTATTCCAATCCCATGATCTGCTCTACCACAACGGCTGCCACCTCCACCAATCATCATCACGACACCATCACCCCGCCAATAACACCAAAACCCAATATAGTTGCTGCTTTGGAGATCACTGCTGCATCGGTTCATTTCAAATCCAGTCGTACTCCGGTATAACCCGCCATATTTAATCGCACATTTACTCAGGCATTTGTTATACGACCAAGTGTTTCCATTCCGGAAGTTTCCAAAAGAAGTGATAAACTCCCGGAACGTTTTCCCTTCAAGACAACCGTTGGTTGTTTGTAACAATGCCGTATGCGTTGGATCATCGCTTCGTGTAATTTTTATATCATTTCCGTGTGTTTTCCAAAAAGCTTCAGATATCATGTCCTGGTTGACGGATGGATCTTGTGTGTTACCGTAAGACGACATTTGGTCATACCAAAAACTCGCATCTTTCATCCAATTTTTTTTGTCACGATTTGAAAAACGAGCCACAAGCTTCCAAACATCAGATTGCAGTACCTATATTTATTGTTAATTATTTTCAATATCCACTAAGGCTCAGTCATCCGGGTTGCTATTTTTATTTCTGCGGAATATAAGAAATGGAAGGAGTATCCAGGTCACATTTAACGTTCGCGCTTAAGACAAAATAGATCAGAAAATGGCGAATAAATGGCGTGATGCGCCCAAATATGGAGAGGCCACGCCATCCACCCGCCATTTTCACGTCGTCTTTGACGTTCACGTCCTCCTGCTAAATCTCCCTAATGTCTAACTGAAACGATTTAGATTAATATAATTTTCCTTCTGTACATAGTACGAAAATTATCTATCACGTCATAGCGTGATTTTTTGCGGTATAAAGTAATTAAGATTATTATATACCTTCCAATATCTGAAATTTCTCGCCGTCTCTAGTTTTAACAAAAATAATAAATGTTATTCCCACGATGAAATTGGAGCAGTAGCTTAGTGATTATAATTATCATCTTCAATGACTTACTAATTTCCAATTTGTTTAACCTTTTCTTCATATTTGTTAGCTTATCGTTAATCTGCGAAACATCTTGCGTAACCTATAATTTGTATTCATGTCATGATATTTTGCCCGATAAATTTAAGCAAGTCTGGGCTATCACTCCCCCCCCCTTTCCTTATCCAAAATGGTAAAGCGAGGACACACACTGGCAAAACTAATTTCAATTAGATTCAAAAGTCTCACGCCTTAAACGCGCTGCGCCCCAAAAGTCAGTGCCCTGGTTACGTCCCTGTCAACTGTAAGTCACCCCATGCAAAAATACGTATACGTTTAATTTTACATTTTCCACCAGATGGAATTTATCACCCGCACCCCTCTTTTTACTTATAAATACCGATTATAAAAGTGTAAAATATATCTTTTTGTTCCCGCACCTTTTCCTCTTCAGCAAGAGCTTTCCATGTCTCGTTGCCTCTGACATTCAAAGTTTGATTATCCATGCGAAAGGCCAACAATCCGGTGACTTCTGGAACATCCTGCAAGTTTTCTACGACAACCACCTACGAAATTTTTAGTCGACTGCTTTGAGAAAAATTGATTTTCGAAATCCGCACTTTATAAATTTACGAAAAAACTATTCCCGCCTTGCGAGCATTATACTTACGCCATCATTCATCAATGGTTCATTTTTTCCACATCTTCCCTAAACAGTTCAGAGCGAAGTAATGTAAATGTCAAAAGTTTAATTATTAATGACTTATTATTTTTTTTCATTTATACACTATATTACGAATTAATACACTATATTTTGATTGCCTTCTTTTTACATTTTTTTATTCAATAAAATATTCATTCAATTAAATTCCAGCTGATCTGAGGAAGAGAACTAGCCAATCAGCAGCCAGAACCTCGACAAAACTGAGTTATTATTTCCTTTTTTCGTTGTAACTTTTGCCCTCGCTCGCTACCTCATAAAGGTTCGAACCTTTATGCCAAATCCAGATCTGGCTTGCTAACTAACCACAGTTACGGATTACGCAACTTTTTTCACAACCGGCCCTAGACCATGCTTATAAAGGAAGACGTGTGATATCGCTCAAATCTAACAGCCATAACCTGGTCTCTGAAACAGCAAAAAATTCCACAATATAGAGGTTTGTTGTGCAGGCATATTTCGGGTTACAATCCCCCTAAAGCGTACCGGGACAGGAATATTTCTGTCTCCTTCTAATTTATACCAGCCACTCGCGCCATTCTTTCTTTCACTCCAATACTCCATACATTTCGCCCAGACTTTCTCAGGGGGATTTAATCTGACCCAGAGCCACGCTGATGCACGTTTTATTACTGTACCACCATTTGTTGCACGACATCCTCTGAGACAGTAAATATTTCGTCCACCACGTGGTCCATAACATGCACAGCACTGCAAAAAACGTGCACTGTGAAAAATCATGCTACCACTAAAACTCTTTATTACATTTAGCATTGTGGGAATAGGTAATCGTGTCCCCTGGACGGAAAATGCCTATCAACAAATTTAATTTACCAAGCAACAGTGGAGACAAACACAACCAAAGAAACGTACATTGGATTGACGGAGAACAAGTTTAAAACCAGATATATACCAACCACCCGGCATCGTTTCGGGACAAAAATAAAATAATGCGACACAGCTGAGCAAGCAAATTTGGGCACAAAAGGACAAAGGCGTCAACTCTAAGTTGTCATGGAAAATTTTTACGCTAGAGAACAACCGCATACAAATCTAAACAAGCAATATGTATAATTTATGCATCACCGAGAATTTTTTATCATTTGTAAACCCCATATGAGTATATATACATTAGACAGGAGAAATGAACTTGCTAACAAATGCTGTCACAGGGGAAAGCTTTTATTACAGAACGTATAGCGAACGAGTATAAATAAAACCAACGCATTAAGTGTGCATTGATTTAAATTCTGATTTTGATTCTGATCTGATATAGCTTATAGTAATTTATTATTTTGGCTCTACAACAGACCGTTTTATTTCAGTCAAATACTTCCAGTTAGCTAGGCTTCCTACCACTTTTCTCAACCTAATAGAAAGACTCGTACCTTTCCTCTTTCGCAACCAAAGAATGCGGTTGAACGTCTATTACTACTGTAACCCTTGCTGCCATAACTATTTAAAAAACAATTTCATGTAATTAAATTATCGGTTGTATCTATCCAATGATGATAAATTATATCTGCACTAGAGATGACCTGAATCTTTCGCGACACTCTAAAATCAGCATGCTGGTTACTCATTACTTAAAAAAACAAATTAATTTAAACGAAAATGAGTGAATAAGCGACAACAAAACCACTTCATAGATTTGCTTTATTGGTGGCGTGGGTTTTTAAAATTATGTAATACAGTTTTTTTCTACATAGTTTATTTCGATTACTTAATTATATTTAATGCGTATAAGTGTATAACATGCATCAAATGTCATCTTTTGTAACTTTTAAATCGTTATTCGTACCTGAATCCACCAGAGAAATCAATTCTAGCTGGCTTCCAAGGATAAGCAAGTCCATATGGGCATGGTCTTCTTAAACAACGATTCATCTTTGTCTGTTGAAATTTCCCAACAACATGAAAGATAGAATGTCTTAAGAGGATGTTGTTTTAAGAGGATGTAAGAGGATGTAAGAGGATGTAAGAGGATGTGAGAAGTAATATCTTGAGGAGCCACAGAGACGTAATTAAATATGTCCGCCCAAGTAATTAACGTGGGAATAGTTACACTAACTCCTCCGCTTCTCGAGTCTAATTATTCAATTACCTATAACTCTAATTATACATATATTTCGGAATTGGGCTAACTTGAATTGCTCGCTGGACTATACAATAATAGTTTTCCTTACTTGCCCTTCATTTTTTTTCCGTATGAAGTAACCTCAGCTTGAAAAAATTTCGTCAGAAAAAGTTTTCTTTTGGAAATTATTACTATTCAAAATTTATACTAACCGAACCACCTTTTACAACGGGGTAAGAGTACGAGCCAAATATTGAGCAAGAGAACTCTTTCGAAACAATTTCATTCGTCATCAAATCTTTGACAGAAGACACATCTCCAATACCAGGAAAATTTCTCGGACAGCCTTGATATGCGATCATCAAATTTCTCAAGCGACGTTTGTCCTTAAAACGAAATGCCCTAAAAATGAACAACAAATATGTTCGAAAAACAATGCTCTTGATGTGGATCTAGTAGCATAAGCGTATACAGGCTTTGGGAGTTTGGGGCGCAGGCGTGTGATTTCAGCAAAAATTGGCGGACTTACCACTGATTTGAAAAAAAAACTACCTGAATTCTGTGTAGAATAAAAATTTCTCCTACTTTTCATTTTGGTTACTGTTAACCCACGCCCTCCCCCCCCCAACTCCATAAAGAAGCGCACGTAAATCTAAATGATGCATGATCAAAGAGTATTTTAATCATTCTAATATTCATAAATAAAATAAAGAGCAACGTAACGTGCGGGAAACGCTAGACGCTGTTAGCAACAGCGGAACTAGTAAATTTCCATAAGAAGCTTAATTAAACATAATGAGGTAGATAATAACATAATGTATTTAGTTATAGTGAGATGAGTATTTTGACAGCTTATTTAATTTTTGCCTGTAGGGAAAATTATTTTCAAGTTTAGATCACATTATAAAATAAAAACACCGCTTGGCAAATCCTTTCTACGGCGCTTTCTAATCCTTTCTAATCCTTTTTTCAGATTTGTTTCGAAGATTATTAGGATAATTTAATTTGTTGTTTTGATGTGCAAATTAGCTGTAATTGAATTTTGCGCTGCGTCATCATTTCATATTTTACACATGAAATTTTATACGCCTCACTCCTAAGGGTTCTTATCTCAACTATGAGAAAATCATCGATCGCGCAATTTTGTCCCCGTCCCCTTACAGTCCGAATTATAGAAAACCGATATCGGCATATGTGGTGGCATTTGACTGGCCAACCTACTAAGACTACTTTGCTCCATAACCAGAAATTCAGGACATTAATCATTATAAAAGTTCACAATCCTAGAATATCGCAATCAAAGATGGCTGCCTTGTTATAATAGAATTATATAAGGCATCAGACAAAATTTGAAATTAAAGCAACTTCTATCGTACATATTGCACTCGTGGAGTTCGATTTAAGACGGGCAGAAACTCAGTACTTTTATGACAATTTTTTCATATTTTTATCTTACCTTTAACAGGTTCCCAGTAATGTCATCTTAGCAACGCGTTAGCTCCTTGAAATATAAAGGTTAGCAAGTTGCTGAAATGACATTACTGGGGAACCTGTTAAAGCTAAGATAAAAATTTGAAAAAATTGTGTTATGAACATTATGGCATCTTGAACTTTTATGCCATTTAATGTTCGGAATTTCTGGTTATGCAAAAACTGAAATGAAATTAAAATACGATTTTTCTGTTTTGAGCTTTCTCACTAAATAATTACCAGTGTGCTCTGGTTTTTTCAAAATCATTGCTAGTGGCAATCTGAACTCTGAAATCCAAAATAGGAACATTCCCAAACTCGCTGGACCAATGTGAATCACCAAATGGTTTAACAGTTCTATTATTTGTCGGGATGGCCCACATCGCTGTGTCATTTAAGTAACCAAACAATATATACCCACCACCATCTGTTGTCATGTCACAGTAGACCTGTATTCAAAAGGATACAAAAAGTTGGAAAAGAATAGGAATAAAAGTTGAAAGTTGTAGAACTTCAGTGATTTATCATAACAAATTGCAGTACAATCTTTTGAATAGAACGGCCATGTTGTACCCCCTCGCCCTTGAGGTAAAAGGCAAGAGACCCAGCTACCGATCCTCTCATATTATTTAAGCTTTGTATGTATATATGACCAAAGTGCTTGTTCTATCATAGCAACACTGATGAATCGGAAAGGATAGTGTTAGCTTTTACCTTTTTTGGTTTCCCCAAATCGAAATCCACCCAATAATATCCATCTTTTGATTTAGTGTTCTTATTTAGAATGTCCAAGCAGTCGTAACCAGGATTAAAGAACTCACCGTGAGGTTTGGAATCTATTAAAAAATTTATGACGGGTAGAAATTGCTGTGACCAATAGAAGAAGACATTTTCGAAGACCAATATATCTTGAATGTCTACTTACTGTCAGTTTTCATCCAACTATAGACTTCATCATCTTCTGTACAAACTAATATCATATCCCTGTTTTCACGGTTTTTTACCAATATCATTTCGCCATGATTAAATTCTGAACAGCTTCCTGGGTCATGAGTCTTTCGGACTTTCAACATCTATACAGAGTATTATTGTATATATTTTCGATAATATAGACTTGTTTAATGTCTCAGCTTTGTCTGCGATAAATTATTTATGTAGGATTTTTCTGGATCAATGTATATTCGTCTAGAAAATCGTCCTCTCACACCATGAAATTCGGTTATTTAAAGTTGATTTTATAGTGAAATCAATTAAAAAACGCATATAATTGTAAAGTAGATTTGTATCACAATATGCATATTATTTGACTTCAACCGACAAAAGATTAAACAGTAGACCTTTTATAACATGTGGTTCCCTGTAAAAGGCGCATGAAATGCAATATTGCGATTTTATTATAAGTGAAAAAACATTGTTTTGTTGTGGAAACTGACACCTCGATATAAATTGTGTTTCCATTAAAATTATCTATTTCTCTTGACGACTTATGGACTAAAGCCTGCGAGGATTTGCAACCACATTCCTGGAGGAAACTACATTTTTATGACGACGTGCTTGATAAAATCTTGAAAAATTACCTTGGCGTTAAGCAAAGCTATCCACACCAATGCTGCAGAAACAATCGTCAATCTCAACATCTGAAAATGTGTTGATAATGATGATAGTTGTTAAAAATTTATTTCATCAGATACTGTATACGTTATGTCGCTTGAATCGTCCCCTCATGGACTGTCCTACACTCTTATCCTTAATTATCTTCTTTACGACCTTGTAACATAACACCTTGTAAATAGATCTAATTAACTTATATATTCAAATTTCATGTTGTTATCATTAATCTGAAGATATCTTAAGTTAAAGACGAAACGTTATCAATGAATCTCTCAAAAAGTTTAAACTGTTTAATGGCTTCGTTAAAAGTTATATGTTGGGCTCTCATATTCATTCTAAGAATTCGTTTCCCGCCTGGCAAATCTCTGGTTAGGTTATTGTTCCATCAGGTTGTTGATTTGACTTTCAGATTGTTAACCATGCTATGCTGCATGCCATGGTGATGGGATACACTTCAAATCGTTCAATAAGGCTTTTCTTACTTATGATTCAGCTATCTTGGACCTAAATCAATATACTCGTAATACTCGCATTTGTCTAAACCGGAAAATCCGCTCAAAAATTATATTAATACCGTCTCAGATATTACGAGTTTCCGTGATCCTTTTCGATCGGTAAAATTCGGCATCCTTTAACATTCCAAAGTAAATACCATATTGCAATTAAGTCTGTAAACTCTGGTGCTCATGGATAAATGAGAAAGGAAAATGACTCATCACCTTTCATTATATTAGAAATTCACGTTCAAAATAATCGAAACTGCAAGACTGTATAACCTACATAATAATAATAATAATAATAATCATATATCACAGTAAATGATTTGCGTTTTCGCAATTGACAGTCCGAAACATAATTATTTAGGCCGGTTTTTTGGAAAATGCTTTATTATATTTACACATGGATCGAATAGACGCCCTAACCCAATTGACAAACTTTAGTCTATGTGTCAATTATACTGTAGTTTCACACATCTTATAATTTCTTTGTCGGAAACTCTAAAGGCCGCACACGAGAACTATCAGCTCAGCTAACAACAACCTTGCGATATAGAGGCAATTAACTCAGCTCTTGAGGCACCCGAGAGAAATTTGCTGAGCTAACAACATTGCGATGTCTAAGCTCAGCTAATAGCTCTCGTGTGCAGCGGGCTCCAGGGGCTGTTCACATGAGCCCGGCTTGTAACAAATCTTTATTAAAAGGAAACAATTATCACATGCTTTTGGGGAAACGACTCACATCACTTACAAGATTTATACTCATTCCATTACCTAAGTTATTTAACTGATTAACGCGTCAATTGATCTCGACTAAGAGGGATCATGTAAACATCAACTATAACACAAGTACTCAAGCTAAAACTGCGTATTTTACGTATTAATTAACTGCATACATCATCTATCTCGTCAAAAAATGATGCCGTACTTTACTATATTTAGAATGGTAACTCCAAATTCCGATAAGGAATCTTACCATCAAATTATTGGACAAATGGAAACCTGGAATCTGGAATAGAAAATCAGATATTTGAAGACGCGTAATCGCAGAATATGGAATTGCTCTCGAAAACCTTAAATTCTTCTTTATTTAAAAATACTACGTAAGTTCAAGAAATCCCTCACATGCAATATAGGCGAAACTATACATAACACATTAGATGCAATGGATTAGCTATTCTGAAAATTTTCCAACTGGAAATGGTCAATTTAATAATACTCGGAAGTGTTTAATTATCGGAAGTCCTTCCTCCGTTTCTCGATCATTCAGTGTGAAATATCTAAACGATTTACAAGAGCGGGCTGGCAAGAAGCTTGTAGGGTTTTTGTTTTGCTACCTTTATACGCATGTGTTCTTAGGTCAAATCAGTAAATAAACAGTGTCAGTTTGAGTTCCTTAATAAATGGGAGAGAATATTGATAAGATAAGATGTAATAGCTATACTGTAAATATATGCTACGATAGTATAACTTTTGACATCTAACTCCCTTATGCATATTCCAGGTACTCAAAACTCCTTTTTTCATGAGAGAGTTGAAGCACTTAAAATACTTTCAGTTTATAAATGGGAAGATCATTTCATATTTCATCAGGTTATCATGTTTGTATAATATTTCTATATAGGTAGTTAAAAAATGGCTCTCAATGCAGTGCTTTCTGTTTTAAAGATCATTAGCCAGATATGGAGAGTGTTTTTTTATATTAATCAACTCTGAGCACGAGATTTGTAAGTTGGTGTTGCCCCCTGATTAGATTTTTATAAGATTGGCCAGTTGCGCAATTCGTACTATATTAACCTGAGGAGCTAGGTTATCTATGAGACAATCTTTGCTCGAATATTCAAATGGATCTTGACTGTACATATAAGGTTGAACAGCATAAGTAGAACGACGGCATGCAGATGAACATTTTTTTATCTTTGAAACTCCTTAATCAACGTGTGTAATGCCAACGGTGTCAAACTATGCTTAGATAGGCTACAAGGTTTAAGCCTGCATGTGACTGTCTGTCAAATGTAGCCTATAAACCAGTCGACATATTCACTGATTCCTGAAGTTTAGTTTAAGTTTTAACATTTACCCCCATCGTGTAGGCCTATATATATTCGTTTATTGCCTATATTCGATTATTTTGTGCAAAAGTTATTTTGGCCTTTTCAAACATCGTTACGTTCAACGGGTTGTGGCTGTAAGGTGATTATATATACAATACAGCACATATTCTCAAGTCATGTTATCTGATACAAGATGAATGTCAATGCCATGTATGTTTTTAAATAGCCCGTTTAACTTTAGAATCTGATTTTCTGGTGATTTAAATCTCATTAAATATATATACATGAAACATAATACGAAGATTAGCATATCTTGAAACAAAAAATATGGATTGAAACAAGACGAGAATGAGTACGAGATATTTCGATCTCATTTCAAAATCATCGTCAAGTAGACTGTCTGACGATAGTTTTAAAATGAAATCGAAATATTACTAACTCAATCACGCCTCATTTCAGTCCATGTTTTGTGTTTCGAGATGCTAATCTTTGGATTATACTTTTTGAAATTGTCGGCTGTCGCTGTTTTAACCCATTTAATTAACTGTAATTACATATTATTGCGACGAACTTGTATAAAGTACAAAATTAACAATCGCTTGATTTTACGATTTCCAAAGGACGGAGGATTTATTTGGACGACAGATACAAAATAAAACATGATGTTTGAAGTAAACAAAGCCCGTGTGCTCCTAACGTTTTTCTTGTGCTATACATATCTACCCGCTATGACATATATGGACAAAGGTAAACACAAGATTTATTTAAAAGATTTTCTAATTTAAAACTACTGTAAAAGCAAACCCGAAACTAAATGCTTGAATACACACAAACTCTAACTTCCCTCTCGCATGAACCAATTGAATTGAAATTTGAATTTGCGTACGAAGCAGATTATATTCTATACTTTAAATCTTTCAAGTCAAACAGCATTCCTTCTGACCCGGCCAATTTTGCGCGCAAACGGTGTTCCAAGGCGATTCTCCATTACCGTCCGCTTTATCCGTGCGGGCGAAGCGGCCTTCGATGAAAATCTGCCCATGCGACTATGACAGGTCTGAAAAACAAAGCGTGCTTTGCCTGCGCGGGCGGAGCGGACGTAATGGAGAATCACCTTTAAAACGACGTCTATAAATTGTATATCGAAAGAAACACTGCTTTTCATAAACTGGAGGATTAAACATACTTTACCCAACAATTCCAACGCGATGATCGCGAGTACGTTGCGTAAGTGACATCTTTCAAGTGTAATGAGCTTTTGGGTTCACGTACCTTTTAGTCTTATACAAGACTGTAATAACTTTAGCATGAGGTGCCGAAAAACAGTTGACAGTCTATAAACCGTTATGCATTTGTGTGCATAGCGTGTGTTTAAAATAGTTCTAGATTATGTACAATCATAACACCTAAGTGAAGGCTTTTGCGCAGATTTGGCACTTTTCTCTACACTGTATATTTTTGGGTCAATGTCAATGTGAAGGCGATTCTGGATTACATCCGCTCCAACCGCGCAGCCAGGCGAAGCGCACTTTGTTTTTCAGGCTCGTCACAGCCGCATGAGCAGATTTTCGAAAGCCGCTTCGCCCGCGTGGATGTAATGAAAATTAGTCTTTAGTGTGGTAACCGGCCGCAGTACGGTTAGTAGGGTTTTTTAATGAACGAAACACGCAGAATCATATTCAGCAAACAACCAATTTACATGAGTGGAGTAAGTGCGGTATGAAGTTTGATGATTGATTTTACGACTTCTATATTTCGAAAACGCGTGCATTGGACGTTTAACAATTTCATAGGTGTCTATCAGCCGAAACAAAAGTGGCCATTTGATCCACTTGATCCATCGATGTGTTTTTCAAACGGAAATAAAAAAATGGCTATTCGATCCATTTGACATGCTTACATTTTTGGCTTATGCGCAGCAGGACTCCGTTCAACAAACGTTATCCAAGCAGAAAGAATATTCCATTTGTTCAACTCGCAACATTTCGTGATGATATTGTTTGTCTAAATCATATGCTCGGCATCTGACATGTATGACTACGGTTTAATTTGAGAAAAGCACGCAATGAGCTATCTGGGTATATATCTGTGATGAGATTTGTGGAATGAAAGAAAAAAGCTTGACTCTCTATACGATTTAGATAAGTTTGGGACAATATTTCAGAATTATTAAGTGCTTGTTCCTTTCAGACAGTTTATTATGTAACCGCACAAATTATAAATAGCCTTGGCTTATTAGTGGAAAAGAAAATAGGTTATAGCGAAGATCGTATTCTTTCTTTAATTGAAATTTCAATCAAACATTGAACGCATATTTGTGCTGAAAATAGATTGCATAAAATTGCTCAAAATAGATCCCAAGAAACAACTTTGTTTAATTTGACAAGATAATTTCCATGGTATTGAAGCTGGGGCAGGAAATGCCTCTTGATTTTTCTTTTTCATTTACCTAAAATACGCGCTGAATATTCCAGAAATTTTTTTTATGCAGGAAAAAAAATCAATTCCATGTGATGTACCGACTAACACAGAGCATACAACCTTCAACATCGTCTTTGAAATGCATGGTTGGGCATTATATAATATATATAGTAGTAATATAGTAATATATAGTAGTAATATAGTAATATATAGTAGTAATATAGTAATATACAATTTGAATATATTTGTATATATATTAGCCAGGACACACACACACTTATAATACATGTACTTTTTAAACTGTATTTCGTAGGTAAAGATTTGTGCTACTTCTACTACTATAGTACTAGTAGCTACTAATATCAGAGCATTGTTTTAAGTTTTCGCGCAAGATTTAGCCAGCAAATAAAAGCCAATGGCAATCCAGTGTTTCCTAAACTTTATCTGGTCTGCCATCGCCAGTTTACCTTCTACCATATTCCGCAAATTGTGGTTGTAGGGAATTTAGATGTTCTCAGTCCTAATTCTTCTGTTTTAACTTCCGGAAGCGAAGAGCACGCACTTACAATGTCGAAATTCTCGTTATATTTCCCAGCTAGGGTCCATTAATGACATATCGTGCTCAAAAAATTATTTTATATTATAACACTTATTCATGATTAGTTAATTAATTCTGGCGATTAATGCAACAAAATAGATGTATTACCTCAGCGTCGATAATGCCAGAAGGAATGAAAGAATACAGCACTCGGATCACACACAAATGCAAGTGACCAGTGTGATATTTGTGAGTGCCCTTTGTGTTGATATTTTATTTTGCGTCATTGCGGTCGGGAATTTAAACGTTTCTTATTGGTCGCACTATTAACTTGAAATAATCGCTGACGACAAATGAATAACTGAAACAACGCTAATCTGAGACGATGCGTTGTTTAATCCACAGTAGGATTATTTATTTGCGATGGAATTTTATGATCAACACGAAACATAGCCGTATGAATGTAGACGCTGACATTTGGGGTGCTTATTCCTTGAAAAAAATCCTTGTTTTCTTGACTTGCTAAATGACGGACTGTTAAAGCTTTTTTCTGTTGTTTTACGCTGCCTTTCAGCCACGAGCGTTATATAGCTTTAAAACAAAGCACCCAAAAGACATAATCCGAACACTGCCTTGAACGAACATAAACGACCTGGCGCGTTGTTTTTGTTTTGTGTTTGTGCGATCATCAGAAGAATTATCATCGGGTGTTATTTTGCCTCTTACTTTGGTGGGAGTCACATGTGTGTAGATTTACATATTTTATTGAATTTATATACGTTTCTCCCGAGGTATGATAATTTTTTGGTATCTACCATTTCCATCAAATAATTATAAAATTTAAGGCCAGATTGGGCCGAATCGGTCATATTTAGTTTTCATTGTTTACTCTGACGATGCCTTTGAAATAAGGACGAAATGTCACCAGGTCTTTATAAATTGCATATGCAAGGCAACATTTTAGAAGCTTCTGGATGTTTGAGAATTTTTTTCCATTTTGACAAACCTCACACAACTTTTTTGTTTGAAACGCGTTTTATCGGATTTAAGCAATAAATAAAAAACTTTACCTTTTTGCACTCCAAATATGTTCCTTTTCCAGAATTTACCAGCATAATCTTTCAAGGCTTATTTCATACCCGTGTTTTATCGTGAATATCATTAACCTAAGATCGCTATTTTCGGAATTTGTATATTCAAAAGGAGCAAACGAAATATTTCGCATTTCGCCGAGAAATAGCACCCGTGGAACCAGGTCTTAAGAAAGGTCATTTCATTTCCATTTAATTAAAGTGTTAGCATGTCGCCTAATAGAACTGTACAACTTATATTATAAGCAACAGAACTGAAGGTCCCAACTAACATATATCACCTTGCTATTATTAGTATTATAAGCTTTGTGAGTAACTATTTTTAATATACACCCGAGTATTGTCTATTACAAATCCTACATTCTGATTGGCTACTCAACCATTGTCTATTCGTGATGGTGAACGTTTGGGAAAAATTCGCTCGCGCGACCGTATAAAATTGAATTAATTAAATTATTTTTCGGTGTAATTGCGGTGTATCGATTATTTTCTCGAAATTAATATATCTAGGTACAGGGTGTATACTAAAACAATTAGACAACTTGCCTTCGATGTCTATGAGCAAAAAGTAAACTCAGGCTTCTCCTTCGTTGACTATCGCTCATAGACAACTTGGACTCGTTGTCTAATTATTAAATAGCTACAGATGGTTAAAATGAGCTTCGCCGGGAGGGTGTAAGTCAGAGAGTTTATTTATTAATAGTGTAAAACTAATTATTTCTTTATGAATAAAAGTGAGGAGTATAAAATTATATAGTTAAATATTTGTTCTCTTACATTTGCAGGCAAGCGTCACTTCCGGTGAAATGGAGCTCAGTGATTCGCTGAGAAGAATTTTCAGCGGTCGATTAGGCCTCGTTTACACTGCACCGGATTCGCTTGTCACGATATCTTCGTTTGCCTTTAAAGGGCAATGGTTAGAAGCGTATACTTATTATTTTGATAGTTTTTGGTATATTTGTTTCGATCTCTGACAGTAAAATTTTTTACTGCCTTTTAATACCTACAAAATGTGACCCACTCCGGAAGCAATCCGGTATAGTGTAAACGGGGCCTTAGTTTCCCATAATGGAACGGCGTTACCGGCGATCCATTACGGGATGAGAGAACAAACAAATGCTGGATGACAAAGGCACAAACCAATGTTCAAGGAAAAATTTAATTGCTTTGAAATTAATAAGACGTCTCCAGACAGTTCAGGAAAACTATATAATTCAATATTTTGTTTTTGTTTTTATCAAACGCGTACCCGGCTACGTATACTAACACGAATTTGTCCATTTCTTGCTTGTTTCAAGTGCAATTACATGTCGTATGCCATATAATAAACTTTTTATTAACCTGGCTTACTCGCTCTTCGCTCTTCGAGCTCGGTCTGTACAAAAAGACCTCGGTCCGATATTTCCCGGTAAAGACCTCGCGCTCGGGTAATAAGAAGTTAATATCATGGGCAGCTTTTTCAGGTCTTCTTTTTTACCCCCTAGCTTGGGCAAGCAACAATTTTTATGTAACTATTGTTCAGACAGAGGCGTAGAACTTCCACTTGCCTTTGTCTCATGCGACATGGGTAAGCGATAGAAAAGAATATAAATAGAAAAGAATGTCAGTAAATGTACATCGTCACTCGTCGACATGAGAATTGAGCTTTATAGCAAAGAAACGTTGTTAGGACGTAAGAAAATCGATCTAAAATATTAATTAAGTATAAGAGATTGCCCCCCACCCCAGAAAGAGAAGGAAACGAAAAAAGACCAGGAAATAAGGACTGAAAAAAATCATCTACAACAAGGACGACGGAAAGAGGGGAGAAAAATCATTGCCTTTAATCTCCTTTAAAAACCTGCACACAACAGGACAATGTCCCAAAACGACCAATTGGAGTTAGCTTCCATGTTATAACAAGGAATGATATCTATTCGAAATGGCATTACTGAAACCGATAACATGCCTAATTTATTATGTTAACTTACTTAGCCAACATGAACAGGGAGCACCGTGGCCAGCGTCGTCAAACAACTTAGCATCAAATGTGGTATAACAACTGCCTAAAATAGACAAAACACTTTGACGACGTTTTGACCTTCGTCATGACAATTAGTTTACTGAATTCTCCTGACGATCGAAGCAGGGCCGTAACTAGAACGATAATTGGGGGGGGAGTGTTTATTCATATATTCAGTTCTGCCCGACGGATTTCTTTTGTAAGTGCAAGAGCTCACAATGGAAATCCGTCGGGCAGAACTGATTATATGAATAAACCCCCCTCCAATTATCGTTCTAGTTACGGCCCTGGATCGAAGGCCCTCAGATCGAAACGTCGAGAAGTGTTTTTGTCTAATTTAGGTAGTTGTTATACCATATTTGATGCTAAGTTATTTAGCCAATGTTGTAAAATGTTGATTGATTAAATAATTGAAACTGAAAAATCTATTGAAGTTAATAAATGCCATACGAAATTTTCTCAAGTGAACCAAACAATACAATCAACTCAAGAGAAAAAAAAGTAAATTTTAACTAAAAAAGTAAGCTTTATATTCAGTGCAATCACCTGATGAACATACCCTTTCTACATTAATTCATTTTCTTCGCAAATTTAGCGCAGATAGTCCAAAAATGTTTCTGAGAATAACTCGGAAAGCACGCTCTCCTCCTCTCATCTGAGTTCCCTTCATGATACGGCCGTAACGTCAGGGGTGGGGTACATCTCATTCATTCGTCTTATTTCTGACTGATTCCCTTGGTACTAATTATACGTACGCCATTTACAACCAAACTAGAGTGAGAATAGTGGTAAGAATTTAGTCCAAATAGATTATAACAACTCACATTTGGATATTTTAGGTAACTCTATAAAGTTTAAGAAACCTTTAAATTCATTCGTAAGTTTCAGTCCCAAAAATATTCTTTAAAAATTTAAAACGAATAGCATGGTCATATTCAGGTATCGAAAAAAGAATTTTTTTTGAAATCTCACATACGATTTGCACATGCCTCAATTTCACATTTTGCATTTCGCATTGCAATTTCCAAGTCTACAGCACCAAATAAATCAGCGGTCTCATATAATATATCAAAGTAGTTTGCAGGAATGTTGTATTGCTGTGCGAAAATTTAAAATGTAAGGAACCGTCAATTTATTGGCACGGCAGGGCTAAAATGGGTGCTATCTTATTAGTGTTCAGACTACAAAAACAAAGGCCGGACACTAATGAAATAAGCACGGGTACCCATTTTTACCGTGCCGTGCCAATAAATCAAGTGTAGTGTAAACGGGGCTTAAGTATGAGGCGTAAGAGAAAATAAGAGGAATTAAAGGCAAATTTAATTCAAATTTACATAATATTATTCTAAAAAAACAAAACCGTCTATTATGTCGGTCGTAGGACGCAGTCACGTAATAAATTTCTAGCTATGATAATCTGCACAACTTATTACTGTCTATAGATAGTTTCAAATAATCATATTTTATTTATATGATGAATATGATTTATATTGAAATAATCATATTACTGATAAATCATATGATATAAAATAATTCTGCACTGCATTTATCTGATCCATATATTCAAATCATATTTAGTTTCAATATTCTTTCTAAAAGATCCAAAATCCATGTTTTGAAATACTGGGCGTCCACGAGTAAAAGAAAAAAGAATCCCGTGATATGCTTTATCACAGTTTCTTCCCCCTCCGCCAATCATCATCATCGCTCCGATGTTTGTTGAATTCCAGCGGCATCTAAAACCAAGCTGATTGCTGCTTTGACTTTTACCGTTGCAATTGTGCATTTCAAAACCAGCAGTGCTCTGGTACTGACCACCATATTTGACTTCACATCGATAATCACATTGATGACTGGACCTGGAAATTTCAAGAAGGAACTGAACGAGACTTCTTTTCTGTGGACCAAAGCAATTTTTAACAGTGACCAATAAGGCTGTATGCGTCGGATCATCACTTCTTGTAATTTTTATTTCATTCCCTTTCACATATCTCCATCCAGCAGATATCATATCATGGTTACCAGTGGGATTTCGGTTTGATACGTTCTCCAAATCACTGTTATCATTGACATGTTTATCCGCGTTAGATAGTCGTGCAATAAGACTCCAGCCTGAAGGCATATCACAGTATACCTGCGTATCACAGTAAGAGCAAAATATCAAGAATAAAGCTAATACGTCAAATTGAAGTAACTGGTTTGTGAAAAGGTTATTAATTTTTTTAAAATGGAAAAACTGCAAATTTCAATTTGTATTAAGCCATTGATTGCTTCATTACTGAAATCTCCCAAGAGATTAACGATAGAGCCTAATGATATTGTAGCCTTGCATAGCTGACAATTTTCTCGGTGAGTTTCTTTTTACTTTTATTTTTTGGCAAAGAATAACTTTCTCAGGGACAAAGGAAATAACACGTATGGCTGTATGGCTGTATGGCACTGATTGGGTGGAACATGGAAAGGTAGAACATCCATCGCAATGATCGCAACTCTGGTTAATTAATCAAAGTAATCATCATACATAGATAAAAAAATGTAGCTGAAAATACGTTTATTAACACTAGGAAGATTTACAATAATCTGATCATGCATTAAAGAATACATTCACGACCCACCGTTTCGACACTCTAGGCTAGTGGCACTCCTGAAAACACTAGACATCTTTCTGTGGTGCTTACTTTTATTCATTAAACCAGAGTAGCGATAATTGCAATGAATTATAAACCTAGTTGCCGTGAACTTATCAGGGAAAGTTAGCATGAGGACGTGAACGTCAAAGACGACGTAAAAATGGCGGGTAAATGGCGTGGCATGTCCATATTTTGGCGCATCACGCCATTTATTCGCGATTTTTACGTCGTCTTTGACGTTCACGTCCTCGTCCTAAATCACCCTATTAACTCCAACAATATCGTTTTAAATCTGAGCCACCTTAACCGAGATAGATTTCAAGTTTTACTCGACAACCAATGCGCATGGTGCAAAACATCCTTCTTCAACACATGCATGAAAATAATTTTTCATTTTGACAAACAAGTGTGAAAATAAGCCAAAACACAAGAACGAAGCTGCCGGCCATGGCCTGGTAGCCTTGTTTTAGTGTTTTGACTTATTTCCACATTTATTGGTCAAAATTAAAAATTCTTTTTCATGCATGTATTGAAGAAGGTGCGCAACCTTTGCGCATAGGTTGTCAGAGAAATTCATCCCGGTTAAGGTGGCTATAAAATTTAAAACGATAATGTTGTGACGTGATTATCGAAAGGGTCTATTCGTTGGGCATAAAGTAGAACGTGTTTTGTTTTCATTCGTGATTCCACTTCGTCGGCCGATCAGTAAACTTATTTAACATTTCAAGAGTTTAGTTCACTATCACACTCTCGATGACTCGATGTTTTTTAATTCTCGGCTGATCCCTTAAAGCATATTGAATTTCATGCAACCATATGCCTCATTTCCGTCACAAAAAAGCGTTCAATTAGAAATGTTAGTAATTTTGATAAAATATGTTATAAATATATGGACTTTTGGATATAGCTTTCGGAAACGAAATTTGAATTTTTTCTGCCTTTCAAATGCACGCACGCCAAGTAGATCAGACACGTAAAAAGGAGTGCGCGAGTCACCCGCGACGTGTGTACAGCTTTCTATCATTGTATACCTTTTTCCCTAATGACTTCCAATCTTCTTGAAATGGAAAGGTATAAACTCCGCTTTGAATACGTGGGTTTAATTCAGCCAAAGATTTACAACTCAAAATCTTCAAAGTACCTGTTAAGACGATGGAATAATTTTGATTGAAACTCTGACAAGATATTGTATGGAGCATGCGCGGTATAGAAGTCACAGAATACCTATCAGAAGGATAACTCCATTGTTTTTGCGTCAAGTGACTCAGGAAGAACAGTAAACGAAAGTAATCAACCCCCTGCAAGAATTAAAATTGAGTCTGTTGGCAGGGGGGGTAGTTTCTTTCTATGAAGCATTTCTCAGCAAGTACCATTAATGAACACAATCACCTCCCTGCCCACATTGAAATTAGGCTGTTGGTGTGGGGGGAGGGGGTGGTTGGGGGGAGGATTTGCCAATCTTGTGAAAGCACTGCCCAGCCACGGCCCTCTTTAAACATTCGAATTTGCTATCATGTTGAGATCAAATGAATTTTATGCTTGAATAAAAGTGTGCCATTCAAGATAAAATCAAATATCATATCATAATATTTCACTGTCATTTCATAGCTCTTTGCGCTCTACAATGTTTCGAAGCAAATAATTTTACAGTATATTTTCAAATTTGTCCTTTAAATGTAGAATATTTTGGACTGCCTTTCCCATTTTCCTTGTAGCCTGAAATTAATTAGCGCAGTTGTGTCAACGACCGAAAAATTCTTCCGCTTCCACTATTTTTTTGCTTTATCTTCTGAGTTTTTAAATCATTGTGTTTGACACAGAGAGTGATTTCGACTATCAGGTCAGAAATGTTAAAATCATTTTTGCCAATTTAGGCTGTAACCAGTCGGTCAAGAGCCAATCATATTGCAATAACGCCATTGATTTAAAAATGTATTATAACTGAAAAGCTTGAGGGGCGATGGGTACGTCTGTGCAAGCTCGTCCCCCAAACCCGCGATTTCCTCTGGAAAAAAGGCTCTGAAAAAAACCATACCTGGAAGTCAGAAATCCTGACTTAATTCATTTATTTTATAACAACGTTTTATATTATATTCATTTTATATCATGACGAACGACCACCAACCAGAAAAATTTCTGATTTCGATTATCGGCGAGCCTTTGTTTCCTCGCCAAAGGAAATCGCGGGTTCGGGATGCCAGATTGACGTGTGTGGAATTTACGGGGACATCGCAAAAGAGGAGATTTCTTATGAAACATCTTTTAGTTAATTAGTTTTTACTATGTACATTAACATATTTCAGCCAGGCAGCTCTCGGTATAAAAGTTTATGTCTATCTGTCGATAAAAAAGGCGCCGAAAGAGGGTTACAGCCTGTTCTTAGATTGTGTTCATTTACATTTGTACTACAGATCAGTTTCTTTCATGGATGATTTTCTGAATTTAGTGCATATTTTCATACTCTTTACTTGTTAAATAGTTTCTTCTTGATGCAAGTGACTCGATTTTATTCCTTGGTAATCCAATGATATCTAGACAGCGGTTTTGTACTCTTTCGATGTCCTCCTTTAGGTAATCTGGTATGCCTGCCCAGATTGGCGCCCCATATTCCAGAATGGGTCTTATCTTTGTACAATAGGTCATTAGTCCTATATCACTTGGAAGATTTGGTTTTCTACAAGCCCTGACAAAATAGATTCTTTTACTTGCCTTCTTAACGATATCTTGTACATGAGATTTTCATTTAAGGTCGTTTTGCATGGTAACCCCAAGAAGTTTGAATTTTGTGTCTCTTTCAATCGTTTCATTTCCTATACTAATACTTGGGGGAGCTGAACTTGATCTCGTAAATCCAATCCACATATCCTTTGTCTTACCGGTATTCAGCTGCATTTTATTCTGAGTAGCCCATTCTTCCAAGTCGAATTCAATACTTCCTGCATTTTACTATTTTAATCCAGTAGAAACAAGTTCGTATTGGCTACAATCATCGGCATATTTACATGTGGATATTGAAAGTTCACTTGGGATACAATCTTCCATATCATTAATGTAAATGTTAAATAGCGTAGGTGAGATAACTGCGCGCTCCCTGCGAGACACCAGCTGGTACTGCTTCAACTCTAGAGAGAACATTTAGGGAACCTTAACTTGCAGTGTTCGGTTGGTCAGAAAACTTTGACACTATAACCAGAATGACTTATTTATCCCCATATTTCCCAGTTTCGTTAGAAGAATCTCATGATCTACGAGAGCAAACGCTTTTCGGAAATCTATAAACAACGCATGTACACTATCATATGGGCTACCTTGATCTGTGGCATCATACCAATCTTGAGTCATACTTGTCAGTGCACTCACTGTTGATCTACCCCTCGCAATTGCGTGCTGGTTGGTTTTACTTTAAAATCAGCCTGGTTTAATCGTAATTGTAGCTTCTCCAGGACTTTGGCCACTTGCGGTAAGACTGAAATCTGCCTGAAGTCGGTACTTAAATCCTCAAGGGTGTTTACCTTCGGAATGGGGCTGATCAGAGCATGTTTATAGGAGCTTGGATATTTGCATTGGAGGATACTAGCGCATATAATTTCATGAATACTCGGAGCTAATTCTTCGTGAAAACGCTTTAATACCCAAGCAGGAACCCCATCAGCACCGGATGCTTTCCTCGGATTTAAACGTTTTAGTATTGTCTTTACTTGTCCGATACTAGGTAAAGGCGGTTCGCGATCTATAATTTCTACGTCCGCAGCCCTAGCTGCTAGTGAGTTTGATTCTCGATTGGCCCAGGGGGTAATAAATGCATCAAGTAGCTTGTTCGCCATTGACTCTACTTCCATTTGTGTTGCATGTGTTGGTGTGGGAGAGGATTGTTTTTCGGCTCCACACAATGAGTAAATACACTTGAACCATTTCCTTGGATTAGAAGAGCGGGTAGAGCTTGCTTTAATCTCATAATACCTTTGTTTAGCATTTGAAATTAAATGAGCAACCTTGGCACAAAGTTTCCTGTATTCATTTTTATCTCCTTTAGTATATGCTTTTTGCCTTGCTCTAATTTGAGTCTTAATATAAGGTGTCATCCATTCTTTATCATTTGGGTGCATACGTATACATTTTTCCGGAGTATAAGTATCCAGCATATTTCCAATGATTTCATTAAAACATTGTACCTTATCACCCACATCATCCGCATTGTAGACATCCTCCCAATTTTCTAGATTGAGTGCGAGACCCAGTGCTCTTATGTTTCCAGGATGTAGATTTCTCACAGATCTTGTTGTTGCCTTGCTTTGATTTACTTGATTTGATGGTGTGAAAAGGATTTATTGGTAGTCAGATCGACCCAGGGGGGGAAGATGTAGCATTTTGTTGTAGAGTTTGGACATATTCGTAAGGAGTTGGTCCATAGTATTTGAGCCACGAGTAGGGGTAATAACTGCCTTCCGCAAACTGAACCTTTGACAAATTTGACTTGGGTTCAAATGATTAAAGTCTCATGTAACTACTATAGCCGTTGATGGTCTATCCTTAAGTATGGAGTCGAGACATTTTGTTATATATTCCGTGAAACCTTTGGCTTCATTAGCAGACTTACTCGGGGGGAAATATACTCCAGCAGTGATTATGCAGCTATAAGGTCTTCGCATTCTCGTTGGATTATGTATAAGCCAGAGCAGTTCCATATCATTTGTCTCAAGATGGTGGAGTCTTTTTGTTGGTATAGAGTTATCTACATAGGCAAGAATGCCGCCCCCAGGGGTAGGTCTATCTTTACGATATATATTAAAGGACTTTCCGATGTTTACCACCGATGAAGGGATACTTTCTGATAGCCAGGATTCTGTTACTATGGTGATGTCAGCATTGTTTAACTCAATGACACTGGCGAGTTCATCAATTTTATTTGTTACGTGACATGCGTTGGTTACAAAAAACGAAGGGAGTCTTGCCTTAATTTTGGAGCCACCATTAATGTAAATACAGTTTGAAGGAGTATGACCATTAACATTATCACCACCATAGTTCCTTTTATCATAGACATTTTTGGATCGAGTAGTAATACGAGTAGGAATTTTATACGAAGTAGCATCAGGTATCGTTAAGTTTTTATCCACGCTATCATTAGGGGCTACACCAGGGTTTTGACAGGCCGAGCTCTGTAGTGAGGGTAATCATAGAAGGCATAGGGGGGGGGGCAGATTCGGAATTGCGGTTTCCATTTAAGGTTTTGGGTAAGGTTGGAATGGGCCCAGTAACCGAGGGTGACTTTGGGGACATTGATTGACACCTATCCCGTGTGTTCTCGCTTTCAACCATAACAATAGACTCGTCATTATTATCCGGTTCAATAGGCTTGACTACATCCTTCGGGGAATAATGAATAAAGAATTTGATTTTCTCGAGCTCTTCATTCAAATGTTGGACTTTTAGGTCCAAGACAGAGTTTTTAGTTTTTTCCTCCTCAAGAACAGCACGCAAACGAATAACTTCATTTTCCAATTTTTCAATAATTGTTGGAGTTTGATCTCCCCATGCATTAATAAAGGATTGCACTGAATCAACTCTACTTTGTAAAATTTCAGTGTCAAACTTAAGATCATCCATGTATGCTTTAAATTCAGCAGAGCGAAAATTCGATTGTTGTACATTTTCGGCCGGTTTTAAAGATAAGCAGTCATTTATGAAATAATCCTTAGACTTCTCACCGTCTGTACCACCAAATACAAGAGAATTTAGTTTACCAGGATACCATGTAACTGTTAAATCAGAAATATGGCTCTCGAATCTTTTTGAACTACCGCCGGGAGAGCACCATTTGCCACGTTGCACAAAACCAGTATTAATAAAATCTTGTAGTGTTTCGTAGCTGTCATGCCATACCAATCTCTTTCCATCATAGCTAATGTTTTCCTAGACTATATGATTAGAGATTACGTCGAGATTCCAATCAATAACGGAGTTTTTATCACTTAACATGCTGCTTCTATTAGGACATACGTCCGCCATTTTAGACATAGGTTAAAAAAGGTAATGGTAAGGTTAAACTAGGGATCCAAGGATAGTGCAAAGTTTTCATGCCCTGTAATACCTAAGCAACACGTTTTCCCAACATAAACATTTTGACTTATGCCAGTAAAAATATAATGAACTAGGTTAAACATTAATCAAAAGGAAATTATTCAAAGTACTCAAGTTACGTTAGCCGCGGATATTGTCACTATTAAATTATAATTTTAGTTGCCCATGTAAACCGGACGCGATTTTCTCAGTTTAGTCTCTTTTCTTCGTCAAACAACTGTGACTACATTCACTACATTTATATGATGGCAACAATTTATCGTCATTTCATAAGAATAGCCAAAATAGTTGCGTTGTAAATAATGTAAATAAACCGCGGTGCATATTATGTCTATGATGTGGATACTTCGACGCGTAGCTAAATCGATACAAAACAATATACATATAATCAATACTGTATACCGCCAAAATGATTTGATTACTGCACAAAATGTCCGTTTTGTATAGTATCATTTATGTACTGTATGCAGAATACCAGGTATCGAGTATCGACTTGCTATATATCGACATAATATATATTCGTCATTCGTGTAAGAGATCTATCAATACATAAACAACACAGCGTCGTTTGACTTTCTTCCTAACCTATTAGCTCTATTTATGGAATAAACCTTCCAATTATATTTGTGTCGAATTGAATGCTCGCAATTCATAACATAAGTTGATAAATTGCGTAGACTCTCAAAGAATTGCACGATTTTTACGCTCGGAATGTTTTGAAGCAATGCTCGTCGCTCCTCGTTTCTTTACATCGTGAATAATGTTGAAGGCTCGACGGCACATGCGCAGTTGCGACGTATAGGAAAAAATCGGGTGTTCCGGGGGTAAATCTGCGCAAATCCCTTTGAAACAAAACCCAAACCGCGGAAAAGCAATGCTTTAAAATTTACAGTAACCGTCAAAATTCCTCAATATTTTGGTGAACTTAGCAAAAGGGATGTAGAGAATTAATAAATAAAGCAAGTTAAACTGATTTAAAAACTTTAAATTACTGATTATATACAAAAAGCTACTATACGCATAAAAACACTCCGCCCCCCGGAGTTTACACTATGACTGACTGACTGTCTGACTGTCTGATGTGAATTTTCGCCACTCACCACAATACTGCAAAGTGTCACAGAAACTTTGCACTAAAAAGGTAAAAAGAAATAACGTAATGTATACACTCCTAATGTAGTTAATATTTACCGACGTTCTCAAAAATACCATTCCTTTGTTTTACCTAATCAGAAGGCTGCTGATTACCAGTCCCTTTTTTTTAATTTCGCGTGTAATAAAATCGTTGCACATCATCCGTCCGAGATCTAGAATTTGGAACTTAGACTATAAGGCTCCTCATTCTTTCCTTATGCATTAAGTTATTTATTTCAACAGGATAAGATAATTGAACAGGGAAATATTTGCGTACAGCAATGAACACACTTCTTTCAATACCTCAATTGCACACAAAAAAAGGAAAAAATATAAGGAAAAAATGTTCCGATTTTTCTGGTATAAAAATTACGACAAATTTACGAACGCGGAATAAAATTTCATTGCGGTTGGTGTCTTTTTGGCCTCCTACAATTTATTGGATCCGTATTTTTTGTTTTGCAATGAAAAATTGTTTTGAGTGAATGTGAAATCAACTAAAATTATGACAGTGAAAACAAAAATGCGGAAATATTATGATAAATATATTATTAAATGAATTATTAGTTGAAGAGAAAATGCATAAAACTTACGGTTTAGAAATATATCAACTGTATGCTTTGTTACCCATCGCAATTGTTCCTTCATCTGCAAAAGCTTTAAAGAGAACGATAAGTAAATATCAATAAATATTATCATATTAATTTTCTAATCTATTTCTATCCATCCACCCCGTTAACTGATTCATCCCTCCGTCCATCTGTCCATCCGTCCACCCGACCATTTATCAACCCATGAATATAAAATGCACAATAAAATATATTCCAGCTATTTGCAAATATTTTTTTCAAACCTCGTCTTTTTCTGCTAGAGCTTTCCATGTGTTGTTTTTTCTGAAAAGAAGAGATTCATCTGTGGTATTATAGGCTAAAAATCCATCAGCAGCACCGATACTCTTGATTGAATCATCATTGTTGCCCACAATACCCTGTGAAAAGTATTACAAATGTCCATTTCGATTCACTCGCAGATTGAATGTAATGTCTACTACAATTTTCAGGGAATAGAAGGACTAGTGTTTGAAAAGTAATGTTTACACGAGCGGAGCAAAGAACTTGTGAAATTTCGAATAGATATGCAAATCAACAGGGGAAGATTTCGTTTTAAACCAATCATTATTTTTGTTTACATTTTGAATAACCCAATCAGAATGCATAAATTTTGATAAAAAGTTTAATATATATCATTTTACATGAAGTATTTAAAATTAAGTTATTCTGATTGGCTTTGCCCAAAAAATGTAAACAAATATGGCGATTAGTTTAAAGCGAAATTCCTCTTTAATTGTTATGCAAATCAGTAACAAACAGTAGTGATTGTATTTTTCCGATATAACCACAAGTGTTTGTAACTGATTTGCTTATCTAGTTATTAATACAAAAAATTAAAAGTGAAAACATCGTTTAACGAAATTTGAAAAAAATCCTATCGATAATTTTTTTTTAAAATTATCGATAACTTTTTTTCAAAATTGTCCGGTTGCTACTAAACGACTTGCAAAGCATTCGGAGTGAAATAAAAAAAATTCACCGAAGGTTTCACGAAGGATTAACGCACTCTAGGGACCAACCTTAAAAAGCAGAGCAAATGCTAGGAAAGAATGAAATTATGTTTGGTAGTAAGCACTCTCCGGTTTCGACTTTTGATACAAAGTGATATTATAAAGTATGTGTATTATTATGTCGTTTCAGGAGGCAGAAATCTATTTTGTGAATTTCTTTAAATGACTTAGCAGAGACTCACCTCATTCCCACAACGTCCCTAATAAAGTTCAAGAAAGAATCATATCAACATAACAATATATTTTCATATCCAGTAAAATTGAGAATTTGGTTTTCAGAAGACTTTAATTGGACATACGCTTACTTTAACAGGCATATCATCGTCCCCAACTAGTTTATACCAGACACCACTATCGCCATTCTCGTCTTCAATTTGATACTCCATGCATTTTCCCTTTACTTTACGAGGAGGATTTGATCTGACCCAGAACCAAGCTGAGGCATGTTTTGTTATTGTACCACCATTTGTTGCTTGACATCCTTTGAGACAATAAACATTTCTTCCACCACGTGGTCCATAACATGCACAACACTGAAACGTAAGTCGAATATATTTCCTTAAAGTGGTCCACTACAGCAAAATTACGATCTATCAATTATTAATGGTTAATTTTGGAGATAATTTTGCATAACAGACCAACTTTTGATTTAGGCAACCGAAAGGAAACTTCCAGAAAGTGCTATACTAAATTTAGTAAAATTACCAAGTTTGGCTGCAAAATATTGTAAAGTACGGAAAATAAAGCCATGTGAATTTGGCTATTTTGTATACCTTTTTACAGCAGCCGAAATGTGTAACTAAATTAGTTAAACGCTTCCGGCCTTAGTATTAAAACAGTGTACAAAATTGGCTACTTTGCATGGCTATATTTTCCGTAATACTTGACATTTTACAGCCAAACTTGGAGAATATACTAATTTTGGTATGCTCTTTTTATCAATGGTGATTAATTTCTATCTTGTTGCCTAGATCGTAAGTTGGTCTATAATTCAAAATGTCCATCGATTCAGTCTTAAAGGTATGAGGAATTGATCCTGAAAACGTTTTCCCGCAGAAATATAGTTTTACAAAGAATATGAAAAATAACGAATAATTATTTAATTATTAAGATAAACTATAATTAAAAGTGATCGATGTCCTATTGTGTTATTGTTCGCTGTAGTTTATGAATATATGCAAAATCTATATTATCGTTTAAAGTGCGTTTCGTTTAGCGTAAGTAAAATAGGGTTAAATAAATCGTATAAGTTGTATATTAAATTGCTTTCCAAAACCAAAAATTGCACCAAATTAAATTTTCCTAGTTTAGCCTCTAAACAAAATTATATAAATCAAAATAGAATCAAATCCATCAAACGTTTTATATTTCTTAGTGTGTCTGGAGCTCGTAACCATGATAACTGCACATGAATACATTTTTTTACTCAGAATGACTTGCCTAGTAACATCAAGACAATAGATCATAACTGAAGAATTTTATTAGAAATTTATGACCTAGAACCAGAATAAAACTGGAAAGCAGTTTTGTCTTAAACATGTTAATTACCTTTCCCATGTCACAACCAAAAAATGCCGTAGACGCCCTGCTACCTTCACCAGCGACAAAACTGAAAGGTAATTGACATCTGCATAATTACACGTCTTTTTATAGGAGTCTTTTGGTATCAACTGCCTTCTGACGGTGGATAATCTGAAAACCTACTAACATCTAGATAGCATTGCTCGACATAATGGCAGGCAAATTTGTTTTTGTTCCTTTGACAAATTTACCTCAGAAATTAGTACGCTCGGTTGGGGATGATAACTCTGAAAATAATTTGATAAAACAAACCTGAATCCTCCAGAATAAACGACTTGAACTGGAAATACGGGATGATAAGCAAATCCATTTGGACATGACTTATCTAAGCAGCTATTCATCATGGTCTAGCAATAAAAGAATGAAAAAAATCTTCATGGCTTTGATAGCCAAACAATAAAAATTAATAAGTATATATAAAACATAATTCGCATCAAGACACGTTATTTTGTAGTAATTCAGGTTTATTGCTAAACAGTAAATAAATTACTTACCCAACCAATTTTCGCCAACGGATGATAATACGCTCCAAATATTGAACAAGGGAAATGTTTTCCTACAATTCCACCCGTCATTAGATCTTTCACATGTAATATATCTCCAACACCTGGGAAGTTGTATGGACATCCTCCTTGATTGACGATCATCAGATTCTTTAGTGACCGTTTGTTTTGAAATCGAAATGCCCTAGAAATTCAGAGGCATTCTCTGTGTCAGTATAAATAGATAAAGCATTACTAATATTTCTTTTAAAATGTCCTAACTGTTGTCCCATTTACTACAAAATTAGTTGTGTGTTGAAAGATTGAGTATATCCTGATTTTACAGTAACTGATGTACATATTTCCATAGCTATTGTTCTGTAAATTATTTATTTAAAACTCTGTAGCCTTTTACATTGGATTTAACTTTTACGCTTTATGTCATTCTTCTGATATGCGCACAATTATCCACCCCCCTTCAAACTCACATTTCTTTTATGTTGCTAATATTGGTTAATAACACGTTGTTTCAATTACCAATGAGCTTTTGTGTTCTCAAAATCATCATCGGACGAAACTTGTATTCTAAAGTCTATCACTTGAAGATCACCAAACTCGCTGGACCAATGAGGATCTCCGAAAGGTTCAACAGTTTCGTTATTTGAAGGAACGTTCCAAGTCACAGTATCATTCATGTAACCAACCAGTATGTATCCACCACCATCTGTTGTCATGTCACAGTAGACCTATAGTATAGTTGACAACTGCAGTCACAACATGATCCTGATTACGGTATAAATTATTGTTAGCTGATGTATGTACCACAATCATGTGATATATGGGTTTACAAAAGCTAACTTAGTGACTAAATTATTGCAATGTTATTATTAATTAGAGTCATTAGCTATTTTAACAAATTACAATTGATTACCCTCTTCGGAACATTGCCGTTCAAGGTGATCCAATAAAACCCATCTTTAGAATTCGCATCGTGTTTCAAGATGTCGAGACAGTCGTAGCCGGGGTCAAAATGTTCACCAAGAGGTTTTGAATCTTGAAAATAAAGGCGTACTGAATACGAAATTCTACATTTTGGGCTATTCCAACCTCGCAATCAAATAATCATCAAATGTGAAAAACTACAAATTTCGGGGCTTTTTAGACACCACATAAAGACAATAACAAATATTCAACTACGTTACGCACTGTCTGTTTTTCTCCAGCTAAATACTTCGTTATTTTCAGTACACACTATAATGGCATCTTTGTTCTTTCTATCTTTCACCAATATCATTTCACCATGGTTTGATTTTGAACAGCTCCCTGTTTCTAGAGTTCTACGAACAGGCAAGTTCTAAGAAATCAAGGTTCATAAAAATTTAATCATGACATTGTTTGGTCTGCAGATGTGAATAATTACAACAGTTCCAATGGATTTCGTGCTCCCAATTAATCTACTAAAGCTAAAATTTCTTCAATCAAATCCCCAATCACCGTTTTAGATAAAGTCGAGAGACCTTATCAACATAAGCAACCATACATAGACTATACATTTTACCTTTCCCGCAATTACAAGTATTGAAATCAATACTTGAATGAGAAACGACCACATTTTTACCTAAACTGAAAATACATATCTTGTAAAAACGTCAATTAATGTGCGCAAAATGGAACCATGTGAAAAATAGAATTTGCATGCACAACCAGCAGAAAAATGTTAGCTTGGTCTAGCTGAATTTCAAATTGAGATTGAGCTGAGATGTTTTATTTCTATTGTTCCTAATGTTTGCATATTAAGAAATGTTTGATGCTTGAACCGTGGAAAATAATTTAAAATTTGATAGAAAGCTTATTTGCGTGGTTGGTTCTTTCGCTTTCAAATAAGTAGAGTAGGAAAGAGCTGTATACTAAACCGGTTTTGCAATTCAATATCACATCTAAACGTGCGAATCTCGAGGATCAGTCTACTCGACCATTATTAGTTTCTGTCCATGTTAAGTTTGACGCCTTATATTTTAATAAACTGTTACAATTTACTTACCTGAACGTCAAATAGACAATATTTTCTTCGAAAGGAGCCCACTACTCATCTGACTTTGGAAGACTGAGAGCTTTGTCTTTGGCACGGCGTAGCTTATTGTTATTATCTCATTGACATACCTAATGCTGTAGGTGTTACCTCATATTTTTTAGCATTAGTGGCGGTCTTGCAGGAATTACTTTGTAGAGCCCATTTGGTGTCATCCTGAGATTCCTCCTGGAATATTTCAGAAATCAGGTCGACTTCTTTTCTTGTATATATTGCTGAAAAACTCATTTCATGACAAATTATAAATTAATAAAAAATGCTAAACTATTTGTTACTCTTGATCCCGTTTCAGAGGTTCGTATTGAATAAACATCCTGTCGTAGATTAGCTACGTGTTTATTACTTCAGTTTGAATTGATGGACGATCTTTCTTAAGTTAAAAATATCCTTGCACATTTCATAATTGTGTTTCATTGCACCAAAAATGTTCGAAAATTACATATTATATCTGGCTAAACATGATGACCATATTGAAGCGACGTGCATGTGTGACGTGATAAGAAACCAGCCCACAAACAAAATATTGGCCCACGTTAGAGGTCAATACAGGGGTATCCAGGATTTTTCGTATCTTATTCCAACTTTTTGGACCGCAGGCATTCTTTAATGGGTATAGTCTTGCTTACACCGAATTTTTTTTACTGCTGTCGAGCCAGAAATTTCAGCTATCTGCATGAGAACAGCTACAAAATATTGGTATTTTCGTGAAAATACGATAACATAATATAACATTTAATAAATATTTCAGACAGCAATTAACACTTCAGTAAGTAATAGATATTACTATCACTCCACTGGTTCCACAGCTCCTAATGTACCCAAGGTTTTATTTCCACATTGAAAAATCTTTTAGGACAGCGTCGCAGCGAAATAATTTCATGCAAGTTCGGGGTGGCAGATATTTTCAGACAGGCGCAGAGTCTTTCAATTCAACCTTCGACCAAGTGAAAACTCCAACGTTGCACCTAAAATATGCGTGCGTTACAACACTTTTTTTTAATTAATTATCGCTGCTATAATTCGCCCCTGATTTCTGAGAATTGGTCAAGACTGCTTTACTTAGAATAACAGCTACTGGTGCAGTATGATAACTGGACTGCTACGTTAATATGGCATATTGATATTGACGTCTCTACCAAGCGGGTTAATTGGATGCGCTGCACGATAAAAATAACTGGACTATTCCTCGATTTGGCCATTGAAAAACCAGGCAGAAAGCGCGCTTTTAAAATGGAAATTAAACCTCAGCAAATGACTTTCAAATAAGTCATAATGAAATGTAAAAATTTGACCAATGTTTACTAAATAGCTGTATTGTTCAGAAATGATCCGACCCTGATGGATGGGTTCTATAGCTATATACACAAATATTTTAAGGTATACACAAATGTTACAATATTTGAATAAGCGAAAAAGGGCCGGAAAGGTTAGAAAACACAATGACCTAAAGTTGGCCGGAATTTAAGGCAGACTTAGGATTTGAAATGTTGGTCTATAAGCTTTGACTGTAAACAAGTAGATCAGCTTCAGAAATTCCACTATTTCTTTAATTATCTCATTATTTATTTATTTATCTTACCATTTTATTACCTTCTTTTTCAGGTCTATCAGAGTATATCCTCGAAATATTTATGGATTATTGTTTCCTTATCATCACTTCATAGGATCACATTGCACCCTTTCTCTCACTGATCTGAATTCAAAACATTCCAACACTTAAGTTACGCATGAGCTTTAAACTAAGCAATCACATTCAGTTTTTAAATGTCAAAACAATTCTTTTGAAAGGCTCCTGTTCCACAACTGCCCACAATAAATCTACTTCTACCGGATTATTTACCATATTTTGACAGGTTTTTTCTGATGTTGTTTAAGAAAGGTTTTGTTTTGCCATTCATTTATCGCTACTTCAGTATGTGTTCGTCTTGTGTACATTTGCAATCCGAAATGGCCAAAGAAATTTAAATATTCTTGTAGAATATGTAGGAAGCGTGTAAAGACACTTCCCGAACTTATTCTCGGGCAATGCAAACCTTCCCACTGATAATAGATTTCATTATCCGCCTCGTTTCCAAGCTGTATTGTTTTTGTGTGCACTCAAGCAAATTCGGGAAGTATCTATTCATAGCAAATTTCAGCAGTTCGTAGACAAAATTAGTTAGGTTTCAGCTAATATATCTAACTAATGACACTTAACCCTTGACATTTATAAATCCCGACCCTCGAGGCTGCTTTATAATTAAATTGACCAAAATAAATAATAAATCTTAAATTAATTGAACTTCAAAAATTCTTAAGAAACAATTCTAGTATGAGCGAATTCTATATTTACAATTTCTACGATGGAAATAATATATTTTCAGTGAGAGAATCTAGCACGAAAGGACTAATTTTCCCCGACCCTAATTATAGTTTGAAACAATCTTTACCGTTATTTTAGTGTTAAATAATTAAATGCATTGCCACCAACTGATACAAAACATTCTAAGCATTGCTTTACGTAGCGGAATATTAATCTCACAACATGAAATACACCCACTGCATTGCTCAAATAGCTCTTGAAACTTCCAAAGTGTCAGAACAAGAGGCAGAGTGTATTTGCTGTTAGACGACCTATAACGATCAAATTTCATCATAAGGAAAAGATGGCGCGACTTAGCTGTCTAGTGTGGTCTGGACTTGTACTTTTCTATGCGTTGTACATATTTCAGGCACTGGCATTGACTAGCTATATGGTGATGAATATAGATACACCCTATTGGATATTTATTCCTTTATTTCTACCTGCATTAATGTTCTTCAGCTGTTTCGGATGCCTTCTGCCAAAAGTACAGCACGAAAGATCAGTTCGCTATGTTTGGATCGTGTGGTTATTATATACTATAATCCTGGTGCCAGCCGTCGCTATCATATTTGCGAAAGCTGTCCCGGAGTTAAAACCGTCAGATACATTTGGCCCGAATGTATTAAAAACGATTCTTTGCATAACGCCAGTGTTACTTATTCTCTTGCTAAATGTCACAATCTCGCCTCCAAATCGAAGGTTCATCGAAAGGGTTTCAACTTCGGCTGCCCTGGATTTGTTCGACAGCATCGAAATGCTGGCTATCATACTGGAGCAAAAGCAATTCAGACCGGGTTCGTTCGAACTTGACAGTTCAATTGAAACGGCAATTATTGTATTCGTTTGCATTAGTCTGTTTATTTCGCCTTTTGTGTTGTTTCAACATAAAGTAAGGTTTGGTGAAGTAAGTGTGAGAAAGAAGACAATGGTAGCTCGAACCTCTGTTCAGATTTTTCTCGTTAACTTGACGTTTCTTGTTATGAGATTCATCGTGTGGTTCCACTATGACTACGATGCATCAATATTTATCACAAAGAACATCATCTCCATAGTGATAAGCGGTATTGAAATTAGCTCTGTCTTCGGATTCTTCAACTGTGGTGTTGACAATAACGAAACATTCAACGTTTGAGACATTTTGAATGATCGCAAATATGGAATAAACTCAATAAAGTTTGCATTGCCGTTATACATCATGATTTTTGTAGTTACTAGAACTTAAATGTATTGCATTAAATTGTTAAGAAAATTGCTAGAAGCACATGATTATACGCCTTAATGCACCCACTATAAACATAACCAGATATGCAATGTGTTTAATAACTGATATGCAATGTGTTTAATATCTTGGGCATGATTGCCAGATAATCTCAGATATGCTCTCACCTGTTGAATATTTTTCGGCAGCTGAAAACGAAGGCACATCTGTTGATAAAACATTCTGTTCGTCGCTATATTAGAGAGTTTAGGAAGTTTTATACAACGGCCAAGCTACCGATCTAATGGTCGAAATCTGCATGACTGCTTGACGCCTCGAGTTTCCCAAGCTTTGCTGTATCGTCCTGATCTGTTTTTAACAAAACCATTTTCCAACAAGCAACATCGTGTAGTCAGTACAACGTCCTTAAAACGCTCAAACAACAGAATATCATCTGGTTATTACGATTGCAAGATCGCTCGCTACGGTGTGAAGCATATGAACGGCCTTTGAAATATGTAAATTTTGTTTGTGGTGTAGTTTATCTCAGCTTAATTAATTCGAATAATACAAGGAATTAACCGTAGACCGTACCTTTGTTCGTTGTCTTAAACTTCCCAAGGCCTGTTTTCCACTTCAACCGTATCGTAGCGTATTTCTTTGTTTCCGAAATATTTGACCAAAACTAAGGACTGTAAAACAATGCATGAGATACGCTAGGTTTCGCTACGATACGCATTTTGAAGTGGGAAACGGCCTTTAAGGCTAATTATGCCCGCGAAAAACATCCTGGGGCCGGTTTAGCTTAAACGGTGGATAAGTTCAAAATTGAAAGCAATTCTATCTTTTTATTCGACAAGCGAACTAAATGTTTTTAACCTTAATACAAATGCACTGTTTACAACTACATATTCAGTGCATAATATTCAAGTTCACAGTCATTCAAGAGAAATGGAAGAGTGTTATTCAATTTTGACTTATCCACTGTTTAAGCTAAACGGCCTTGATACAACCGGCCCCTGACCACATGTTACGTGATAATATTCCATTGTTTTCAGGATGCCCTCTCCATTGGAATAGGACCTTTTGTTTTTATAACGTGCGTTGCGACATCTCTTTGACTGAATTGGGTGAATGGCAGAATAATTATAACTTTCCGATCGGCCAAATAACATAACACGGCGAAAAAAGCAAAACGATTCCACACAAATAAACGATTTCTTTAAAACAAATAGTACTCGAATTGCGGGTAAGATGAATTTGTGATTTGACATCTTCGTATTGCAGTTTAGAAGCTGTCAGCTGCATGTGTAAATTCCCGAATGCAATACTGAAAAACTGCAAGCTCTTTGGAAATTAGATATTTATAAAAGTTTCATAATCTAGAACTGGCTGATCCCATTGGCGTAAAACATAATTCATCATGCTTGGGTTTTGGGATGTAAAAGTTCGTATGCAGGGAGCGCAAAAAAGGCGACTACTAAAGCCGGTGGGTGTTACACTATGCAATTCTTGCAACTTGCAGTGCAATCATAATTTTGAGGGATGTTAATATGTAAAGAGTGTTCGAAATGCTAAGAAAACGTTAGCAGATCGTATAATTATAAGAAATGTTCGCATCTGTCAACTTTAGATACCTCAGAAGTAGAATTGCATTGTAATAGCTAATCGAATAACAACTACTGTATGATTAAAACCTATTTTCAAAAACCACCTGGATTGCACTGGCATGCAATCAAAATTCTGGGATTATGAAATTATGAGGTTATGAACGTGATATTTCATATCTCTCAGGATAGTTTCGTGTTAGTATACTGTTGCAAATTTTTATTTGCAAAGCATTAAACCGGAAAATTTTATTTTACTTTAACTAGTTTTACTACAGATCTATAGTTTGATTATTGAAATATAAATTTAATATATTCTCATGGCCTTTTCACATCATCTTAAAATAATCATATCCTTATAAATAATTATACTCAATTTTGATAAAACAATTCTAAAAAATCAATAAACTGAACATTTATATCTTCTAAGCTAAAATATGCTCATTAATCTTATTGCAATTGACCTAACATGGTTTCTGGTTTCGCAAAATTATACTAAATATCATTTAACGGAAGTTCAACAGAATAAAACATCCAAATATTTTTATCTACGACTGTCCATTGTTTATTGGCTGTCATCATCTAGCATTTTTCCATTGCATGCTAAAAAGAAGGAAAAACTTACATTTAGATGTTGTGTGATTTCGATTCGAAGACATGTAAAACTCATTACTGTCACACAAGCTATATCAGTGGTTTAAAAGTCTGTTCACAAAAACCAAACTTGCTGGATCCAATTCACTTCTATTGTATGGAATGAAGTCAGTTATTGATAAAGCAGTACTGCGTTGATTTAAGTTGATTTGCGGCCCATATACATTCCAAGTCAACAGACTGTAAAACATCCATTAGGAGTGAATTGGATCCAACAAAATTGGATCATGTGAACAGACCTGAAGAGCTTTTAGTGTTTAGAATACAATTCTTATTATGATTCAGGTTATGGATAGGATGAACAATTTTGAATCAAAATAGTGATTAAGGATATTAGGAATTGAACTAATAAAATTATTATCTTTGTTGTTGCCAGCATTAGATGCAAGGCTGGGATTATTTTAACATTTCAGACAGAAATTAATGAAAGGAAACAAATTCTCATGGATGTGTGTGCAATTGGATGTGTGAGTAATTATGTGTATTAATCATACTTTAATAGTTAGGGCGTCCTTTTGGGGCAGGTTGTATCAAGCCCATTTAGCTTAAACCGTGGTAAAGTTAAAAGTAGAAAGCAAGCCTAACGTTTTATTCAACAAGCAAACAAAATCTTAATACCGTTTAAGCTAAACGGGCTTGATACAACCAATCCTGATTAACGACGTCAGGTAGTCCTCCAGGTCCTTAGAATTCTACCTTTTGTTTAAATGGATCCCTTATATGTGGGCCCTACTGTAAAAAAATTCATATCTAATTCAAGACGTACCAGTTTTTAATGTGACATCATCTCTTTATCTTTCTGACTTTGGGAAAACATTATTCTGGAACAAGCCAACTGCATTTCCTGCAGGATAATATTTTGCCACGACAACAACCAATTCTCCATCATCACTCCGTGCCAAGGCCATTCCTACCTCCTTGCAGTCTTTCCATAACATTTGACTAAAATTTCTTGTGAGTGAAGAAAATGCAGGGGAATCATAATCATATTCCCGCTCTTCGTTGTACCATAATTCAATAGCTGCTTTTACATCAAAGGATCGATCGCTCGACATCGCTATATTTTCACCACGGTCATTTGTCTCGCTGCTTTGGATGGAGCCAGTGCGAATGACTCTTTCTGCACAATGCAGTGCTTCAACAGCGAGCATTGGCGACCAACTGAGTTCTTCGGCACCATGTTGAAATCGATGGTAGTTGTGGGTCACTAAGCAATCGTGTTTAATGGTTTCTAGGTGGAAAAGAAAGATTCTAGATAATTAAAACTTGAATTTTTGCCCTTTTATATTTGACTCTCTTAAAAAATATAACATATTCCTATCATCAATATTCCGAAAATTCATATGAATACCCAGCATATATATTTTATTCATTAAAGTTAGTAATTAATTTAGTGTTGTAACTTACTAAAGGCTAGTTTCCACTCCTTTGTGTCGGAAAAATCTCCTTTGGATTGGAACGGACAGGGAAATTTTCTTTGTCGGTGAGTTCTCAGGCAGCGTTTATACAAAGGAAACTTTCCTGTCCTGTCCGATCCAAAGGAGAAGTTTCCTGAGTGGAAACTAGCCTTAAGATACGAATTTTATTCAGGTTATTGGGATTTATTTTTAGATGACCGGTTTCTTGCCTTGCAAGTTTATTATCATATGAAAATTTTTTATTATTATTCTGATAAAATTTACTGATTTATTATTTCATTAGGAATTGCAAGCGTTTTAAGTTTTGAAACAATTATGCTACACAAAGGCCCAGTTCTTGATCTGTGAAACCTTACCAATCTCATTAGGTGGACTGGGTGGACTAGTTGATGACTTTTTTTTCCTTGGTCGACCTTCCACTGCATTCTCTCTTGGAAAAAGAACATTTTCTTCAAAGTAGCCAAGCTTATTCCCCGGAGGATTGTATCTGGCAACGTAGTAGGAAGTGCCATCAGGTGCCAGCGCCATTCCCACTCCAATCTCTAGCGTATCAGCCCACACCATTTGAGTGAAATGTGCAGTTTGAGTAGTAAAACCAGATTTTAGGAAGCTGTAGTGTTTAATCTCGTCGTACCACAGCTGCGATAAATCATAACCGTCCAATAGTTCGGAAGAATAAGCCACATTCTCGCCATAATCGGAGGATGTAGAGTGTTTGAGGCATCCACTTTCAGCAAGGTGAACAGCCCAAATTTGAGCGTCTTTCGCGAGTTTATCAGACCAGGTGAGAGGTTGAGAGTAATGAATATAACGACATTTATTGTGTTCCAGTAGAACTCGTGCTTGGAAGTCCCCTAATAAAGCTTTTATAATTTATTTAAATGAGTTTAGGCTTCTTTATCGGTTTTGTATTGATTTTAGGAAAGTCATAATAATCTAAGATTGATACATATTCAATAAATATCAGTCAAATCGCTGAGACGAAGCTTATTTTTGCTTAAATCTTACACGAGTTTCCTAAATCATGTATTCCTGCTGGCTAAAGGTTTTTTTGTTAATTGAATGAAACTATGTAACTGATTTTCCCAAGTAGTCCGACAACTAAAAATCCTTTGATTAATTTTATATAACAGAAATCTCTTTATTGCATTTAAGGTGTAGAAAAAATGTTTTAATGATTTTTACCTTTTTTAAATTTTTTTTAACATTTATAACCAGAGCAATAATATTAGCAATGGTTGCGTTTTGTTTTACCAGGTGTTACTCATGCATGACATTCCTCATTTTAGAAAATAACGTTGATTAGCGGCAATCTATTTTAACATTTATTGATAAATATATCAGACGGCAAAACCTACCTAACTCCGTTTTTGACTCCAATATATCCACTTCTCGTATCTCTGCGGTTACCCCGTGCACCACCTGTTCATCCTCGTGTTCTTGGTATTCTATTGAAGGCCCTCTTTCGATATATCTCTCTGTTCTTTCAAGAATTTCTTTTGTTACATCTGTATCGCCTCCAAAAACCACAACTGGCTCCCGCTCAATACTACATCTTTCAATCCTTGTTATTGTCTTGACCGTTCCGTCTTCTGACGTAGTTATTTTCTCTTCCACAGTTTTAGCACCCTTATCTATATCATCAGATACACTACGTCCTGGTTCGATAGCTTCGAATTGTTGAATGAATTCTTTATACTTCTCTTCCGAGAACTCCATAGGTAGTGTTTCTTCTTTACGTGTAACAACAGTCGTAACTGATGTCTTTACACCATCCTGTTCATGTTCCTTTGTGGTTACATCAACTCCCTCTTCCAGCTCTTTGTTTTCAATTTTTCTAATAATTTCCGTTAATCTACTATCGTCCAGGTCAGTGCTCGGCATCGGTGTTGTTTCTACCGTTCGAGTTATCACCTTAGTTATTGTTGTTTTTGTTCCGGATCCATTGTCCTGTTTATTTTCAGTAGATATATCGGTCTCCGGCTGACTATAATTCAATTCAATTTTTTCCACGTCTTGAATTATATCTTCTTGATCAGTAGGCAAATTTTCACCTTTCGAACTTTCAGTTTCCATGCTTAGCTTTTCGCTATATTCATCTATTTTGGTGTCTTTCTGTTCAAGTTCCGCTAATCTTGTCCCCTGTTCTGTAGAAAATCCCTCAAACTCAATATCCTGATCACTGGATTCGCATAACACGACCGATTCTGTTTTAACTGTTGTAACTGTTCTTTTTATTTGACTATTTTCCATTTCCTCACCAAACGATATTTGCTGATTATCAGGTTGTGTTTCGATTCTGCCCGTTGTTTCAGTCACCCCGATTACTTCTGGATCATCTCTTTGGTCAGAATCTGCGGAATTCAAAATGTTTAGTCTTTGCTCTGTTTCCGCTGGAATCGTTATCTCTCCGTGATAAGATTATTGAATCTAATGCATCTCTACATTTACTCGAATAGACATCTTCTAAATCTTCATGCGGCTTAGATGTTTGCTTATCGGTCTCTCTGCTTTCTTCACATGAAAATAGGCTAGTTGAATCGTGCACAAGATTTTCTTCCTGCTCTGAAATTGAAAAATCTGGATCTTCCTTGTAATCTTTCTGGTATTTACCAGTTGTTTCGTCATCAAGAGATGATAAATCAGACGATATCCAGCTGCGAACAGAGCTTCCTGGAGATACCGAAGACTCCGAAGGCGCATCAGGGCTTTCTCTTAAATCAAGTTTTAAATAATCCATTTCCTTTGCCTTATCTTTTTCTAAAAGCAAACTTTCAAACTCGTAATCGGTCGCAATGGTTCCTTGAACTGTTTCTTCCTCCGCAGCACAATCAATCTCCTTAAGATCGCTACTTCCTAAATTAGGGTCTTCTTCGCGAGATGGCCATAGTATCATAAATTCATCAGCTGCGGTTGGCAGAGATTGTTCATGCACAATCTCACTTTCGTTGGCCTCTGTTTTTTGTCTCTTACTCTGAGCTTCGTGAACATTACTAGGAACAATATCAAATTCACTTGGACGTGCTACTTCAAATTCTGCTGAGTCAATATCTGTGCTTGTGAGAACAGTTTCATTTGTTTGAACTTTAACTAATGATCCAGATAAAGATTCAGTCCCTGAAGGCGGTTCTTCCATGATTATTGATAAATGCGACGCAAGTAATGGTCTTTCGGACTCGTAATCAATTTCATCGTCTCCTATATATTCGAGTTCTTCTGGTAGCGTAAATTGTTGATACTTTTCGGCCGAACTAAAAACCTTTTCCACATCACAAGGGAATTCAAGCTGCATTGGTGAAAACGTTCCTTTCTCCTTCATGTACTGTTCATATAACTCAAACTCCATAAGTTCGTATCTTTCCTCTAATGACCCTGTTTCTTCCACCTTCACAACAACCATGTCTCCGCATTCGGTTCGTACAAGTCGAGGTGTAAAAGGTGCATCACTTTGTTCTTCCGTTCGGCTTAAGGCCTGTTTGATAGCATCTTGTACTATCGTACGAGCGCCGACATTTACCATCCGTTCGAACACGCTTTGTTCATCTATCTGTGGTTTCTCAGCTCGAGCAAAGGATAGCTCTTCGTTACCTTTTTTTAGTTCTTCTTCTTCCTTCTCCACAGTGTGCCAAATTACTGGATTCCTTTCAATTTCAACCCAGCGACTCTCGTTATCAATTTCCTGTTCACCTTCCTTAGTGATTGGCGATATTGAACCTTTTGCCTCATCAATTAATTTATCTCCTTGATCAGTAACTATTACATCGTCTTCGAAACCTGAAGTATCTAAAAGTGATATAGATTCGTCATCAAAAACGTCACAAGAAGTAGAAAATCGCACATGCTTAGTGCCTGATTCTTTTTCAAATCCTTCATCCCCGTCTCCCATTGTATCTTCCATAGTTAAATTCTCCTCGCACGTGTCCTTTACAAGATCTTGTGTCACGTCTTTTTCCAGTATTTTCTCCTCATCTGCTCCGTCTTCTTTGATGTCTTCGGGTTCAACTGGCACGCCCTCTTTAACTGTTACATCTTCTTCGCCTGCTACATATTCTTTAACTGGCACATCTTCTTCATCTGTTACATCTTCTTCAACTGGTTCATCTTCTTCGCCTGCTACATACCCTTTAACTGGCACATCTTTTTCATCTTGTACATCTTCTTCAACATGTTCATCTTCTTCAACAGGTTCATCTTCTTCAATTGCTAAATCTTTTTCCACTAGTACATCTTCTTCAACAGAAATATATTCCTTGACTGAATTATCCTCTTCAAATAGTATATCTACTTCGACCTGTTCGTCTTCTTCAACTCTTACGTTTTCTTCAACTCGTAAATATTCTTCCGCTGGTACATCCTCTTCGACGAGTACATCTACTTCGACTTCTACATTCTCTTTAACTGGCATATCTCCTTCATCTGGCACATATTCTTCAACTGGTTCGTCTTCCTCAACTGGCGGTAAATCTTTTTCAACTAGTACATCTTCTTCAACTCTTACGTCTTCTACAACGACTACATCTTCTTCGAATGAAACATCTTCAACAGGTACATCTTCTTCAAGAGGTAGAACTTCTTCAACTGGTTCATCTTCTTCAGCTACTAAATCCTTTTCAACTAGTACATCTTCTTCAACCGAAATATCTTCTTCGACTGAATTATCTTCTTCAACTGGAATATCTACTTCAACTACCCCGTCTTCTGCAACTCCTTTGTCTTCTTCAACTGGTAAATCTCCTTCTATCGGTGAATCCTCTTCAACAAGTACATCTTCTTCGACTTCTACACTTTCTTTTAGTGGCACATCTTCTTCATCGGGCGCATATTCTTCAACTGGTCCATCTTCTTCAATTGGCACATCTCTTTCAACTAGTACATCTTCTTCAACTCTTACTTCTTTTACAACTAGTTCATCTTCTTTAAAAGGCAAACCTTCTTCGACTGGAACATCTTCAAAAGGTACATTTTGGTCAACAGATAGAACTTCTTCAACTGGTTCAACTGCTTCAACTGGTTCATCTTCTTCAGCTAGTAAATCCTTTTCAACTAGTACATCTTCTTCAACTGAAATATCTTCTTCGACTGAATTATCCTCTTCAACTGGTATATCTACTTCAACTAGTTCGTCGTCTACAGCTTTTGCGTCTTCTTCAACGGGTAAATCATCTTCAACTTGTACATCCTCTTCAACTGGTACAACTTCTCCGACTTCTACACTCTCTTTAAGTGGGTCATCTTCTTCATCTGACACATATTCTTCGACTAGCTCGTCTTCTTGAACTGGTGGTACATCTTCTTGAACTAGTATATCTTCTTCAGCTCTTACTTCTTCTACAACTAATGCATCTTCTTTAAACGACAAATCTTCTTCGACTGGAACATCTTCAACAGATACATCTTCTTCAAATAGTTCAACTTCTTCAACTGGTTCATCTTCTTTGGCTAATAAATCCTTTTCAACTGGTACATCTACTTCAACTAGTTCGTCTTCTGCAACTCTTATATCTTCTTCAACCGGTAAATCTTCCTCCACCGGTGAATCCTCTTCAATATGTACATCTTCTTCGACTTCTACACTCACTTTTAGTTGCATATCTTCATTATCTGGCACATATTCTTCAACTGGTTCATCTCCTTCAACTGGTACATCTTTTTCAAGAGGTACATTTTCTTCAACTCTTACTTCTTCTACAACTGGTGCATCTTCTTTAAACGGCAAATCTTCTTCGACTGGAACATCTTCAACAGGTACGTTTTCTTCAGCAGGTACAAATTTTTCAACAGGTACATCTTCTTTGACAGGTACAACTCCTTCAACAGGTACATCTTCTTCAACAGGTACATCTTCTTCAACAGGTAAATCTTCTTCAACGGGTAGAACTTCTTCAACTGGTTCATCTTCTTCAGTTAGTAAATCCTTTTTAACTAATTCATCTTCTCCAACCGAAATATCTTTTTCGACTGAATTATCCTCTTCAACTGGTATATCTACTTCAACTAGTTCGTATTCTGCAACTCTTTTGTCTGCTTCAACTGGTAAATCTTCTTCAACTGGTAAATCTTCCTCCACTGGTAAATCTTCTTCCACTGGTAATTCATCTTCAACAAGTACATCTTCTACGACTTCTACACTCTCTTTAAGTGGGACATCCTCTTCATCTTGCACATGTTCTTCAACTGGTTGATCTTCTTCAACTGGTAAATCGTTTTCAACTAGTACATCTTCTTCAACTCTTACTTCTTCTACAATTAGTACATCTTCTTTGAAAGGCAAACCTTCTTCGACTGGAACATCTTCAACAGGTACATTTTCGTCAACATATAGAACTTCTTCAAATGGTTCAACTTCTGCAACTGGTTCATCTTCTTCGGCTACTAAATCCTTTTCAACTAGTACATGTTCTTCAACTGAAATATCTTCTTCGACTGAATTATCGTCTTCAACTGGTATATCTACTTCAACTAGTTCGTCGTCTACAGCTTTTGCGTCTTCTTCAACGGGTAAATCATCTTCCACTGGTACATCCTCTTCAACTAGTACAACTTCTTCGACTTCTACACTCTCTTTAAGTGGGTCATCTTCTTCATATGGCACATATTCTTCGACTAGCTCGTCTTCTTGAACTGGTGGTACATCTTCTTCAACTAGTATATCTTCTTCAGCTCTTACTTCTTCTACAACTAATGCATCTTCTTTAAACGGCAAATCTTCTTCGACTGGAACATCTTCAACAGGTACATCTTTTTCAACTGGTTCAACTTCTTCAACTGGTTCATCTTCTTTGGCTAATAAATCCTTTTCAACTGGTACATCTACTTCAACTAGTTCGCCTTCTGCAACTCTTATGTCTTCTTCAACCGGTAAATTTTCTTCCACCGGTGAATCCTCTTCAACATGTACATCTTTTGGCCCATATTCTTCAACTGGTTCATCTTCTTCATCTGGCACATATTCTTCAACTGGTATATCTTCTTCAACTCTTACTTCTTCTACAACTGGTGCATCTTCTTTAAACGGCATATCTTCTTCGACTGGAACATCATCAACAAGTACATTTTCTTCTACAGGCACGACTTCTTCAACTGGTTCATCTTCTTCAACTGGTAAATCCTTTTCAACTACTATATCTTCATCAACCGAAATATCTTCTTGGACTGAATCATCCTCTTCAACTGTTTTATCTAATTCAACCTGTTCGTCTTCTGCAAATCTCACGTGTTCTTCAACTGGTAAATCTTCTTCCACCGGTACATCTTCTTCAACGACTGCAACGTCTTCGACTCCAATATTCTCCTTAACTGGCACATCTTCTTCAGCGTTAGCTGTCACATTTTCTTTATCTGGTATATCTTTTTCAAGTTGTTCATCTTCTCCAAATATTTTCTCTTCTTCAATTGGTACATCTTCTTCAACTAGTGCATCGTCATCAACTCCTATGTCTTTTTCAACTAGTTTATCTTTTTCAACTAGTAGGTCCTCTTTAACACTTACTGCTTCTACAAATGGTACACATTCTTCAACTAGTTTATCATCTTCAACTCCAACGCCTACATCAACTGGTAAATCATCCTCAATCAATACATCACTTTTAACCGGTATATCGTCTTCAACTGCCTCATGCTCTTCAATTTGTAAATCCTTTTCACCTAGCACATCTTCTTCGACCGAAATATCTTCTTCGACTGAATTATCCACTTCAAGTGGCATGTATACTTCAACTAGTTTTTCTTCCTCAACTGGTAAATGTTCTTCCACTGGTACATCCTCTTCAACGAGTACATCTTCTTCGCCTGCTACATTCTCCTTAACTGGCACATTTTTTTCATCTGGTATATCTTGTCCAACAGGTTTATCTTTTTCAACAGGTTTATCTTTTTCAACAGGTTCATTTTCTTCAACTGGTAAATATTTTTCAACTAGTACATCTTCTTCAACCGAAATATATTCTTTGACTGAATTATCCTCCTGAACCAGCATATCTACTTCAACCTGCTCGTCTTCTTCAACTCTTGCGTCTTCTTCAACTCTTACGTCTTCTTCAACTGGTAAATCTTCTTCAACTAGTAAATCATCATCCACTGGTACATCCTCTTCAACGAATACATCTTCTTCGACTTCTACATTCTCTTTAACTGGCACATCTTCTTCAAGTGGTTCATCTTCTTCAACTGGTGGTAGATCTTTTTCAACTAGTATATCTTCTTCAAATGTTACTTCTTCTACACCTAGTACATCTTTTCTAAACGGCAAATCTTTTTCGACCAGATCATCTTCAACAGATACATTTTCTTCAACAGGTACAACTTCTTCAACTGGCTCATCCTCTTCAACGAGAACATCTTCTTCGACTTCTACATTCCCTTTAGCTGGCGCATTCTCTTCATCTGGCACATATTCTTCAACTGGTTCATCTTCTTTAACTGGTACATCTTTTTCAACTAGTACATCATCTTCAACTCTTATTTCTTCTACAACTACTACATCCTCCTTAAACGGAAAATCGTCTTCGAATATAGGAATATCTTCAACAGGTGCATCTTCTTCAACTGGTACATCTTCTTCAACTGGTGCATCTTTCTCAGCCGAAATATCTTCTTCGACTGAATTACTCTCTTCAACTGGCATATCCACTTTAACTAGTTCGTCTTGTGCAACTCGTATGTCTTTTTCAACTGGTAAATCTTCTTCCACTGGTGCATCCTCTTCAACGAGTACATCTTCTTCAACTTCATTTTCTTTAACTGGCAAATCTTCTTCATCCGGTACATATTCTTCAATTGGTTCATCTTCTTCAACTGGAACATCTTTTTCAACCAGTATATCTTCTTTAATTCTTACTTCTTCTACTTCTTCAATTCTTACTTCTTCTTCAATTCTTACTTCTTCTTCAATTCTCACTTCTTCTACTTCTTTAAATGGCAAATCTTTTTCGAATGGAACATCTTTTTCAACCAACACGTCTCTTTCAGCTCTTGTGTCCTCCTCAAAAGGTAAATCTTTTTCAAACGGTACTTTTTCTTCAACTGTTTCAACTTCTTCAACTGATACATCTTCTTCAACCGGTACATTTTCTTTAACCAGCGCATCTTTTTCGACTGGCTCATCGTCTTTAACAGGCCCGTCTTCTTGAACTAGTTCATCCTTTTCAACTTTTGAATATTCTTCAAATGGTAAATCATATACCACTGGTTCACCTTTTTCATCTTCTTCAACCTGAACGTCAAATTCCACTGCTTTATTCTGTTCAACCAACACATCTTCTTCAACTGGCACGTCATCTTCAACTAGTAAGTCTTCTTCGACTCTTGCTTCTTTTTCAAATGATAAATCTTCTTCCACTGCTACATTTTGCTCAACTGGTACCTCTTCTTCAACACGTAAATCCTTTTCAACTCTTACTTCTTCTTCAACTGCTAAATCTTCTTCAACTATTGTGATCTCTTCAACTGCGACGTCGTCAACTAGTACGTCTCTTTCATCTGATAAATCTCTTTCAACATTATCTTCACCTAGTAAATCATTATCTGGTACGTCTTTCTCACCAAGTACATCTTTATCTGGTACGTCTTCTTCAACTAGTACATCCTCTTTAATCGTGACGTCACCTGCATCCCTATTCACTTCTACGTCATCTAGAATTGGTGCATCTACCTCTGCCGGTGCGTCCTCAACTGGTACGTCGGCACCTAGTGCATCTTTTTCAACAGTTACGTCTTCTTCAGTTGTTTCGCCTTCTTCATGAACTAATACAGTTTCAAATGTGACGTCTTCTTCATAACGCAAATCCTCTTCAACTGTCAATTCTTCTTCAAAAGGTACAGCTTCTTCATCTGGCACGTCTACAGTAACTGCTATATCTTTCTCAATTGTCACGTCCTTTTCTACTGCTATCTGTTCCTCAGATTTCACGCAGGGTTGTAGTTCCATTGTTTTCTCCTCCTCATCCTCGAAAAAGAACGTATCTTCGGACAGGGCATACGAATACTCTCTTGTTTCCTTTTGTATATTTAAATGTTCGATCGGTTCTAACTCTGTTCTTTCATTCTCAAGTGATTCCACCGGAGAAGGAACATCGTTATCGTCACAAATATTCTCCTCGAAGTTTATGCTTGAAGAAGGATATATTGGATATTGTGCTGTTTGTCTTTCGGTTGCTAAAATTAAAACAAATGTAAAAACATAAAGCGCAAAAGAATTTTAAGGTAATCTTTGGATTTGTAAAATATATGAATTATGAAATGGCGCAATTTGATTGATAAAAGATTTTAGGATTTTTTTTTTAATTTAAATAGCATTCAAAAAATGTTTCACCTGTCGCTTACTAATAAGAAATTTTACAAATGACAAATGTGGCTATTGAGTAAGATGACAATGCTTTTCAGTATTTGAATCACTAAATGATTAAATGGTTAACACCACGCGGACATCAACCGACCAGTTATACAACTATAGCAAGCAAGTTACCTAGCTGATCGTCCACAGTATCTTCAGAAAACAAACTATTAAACTCCTCATCAATAACGCCATGATCAACTGTTCTCGCAAATGTTGTTGTAACAACGTGTTCCAACACAGGAAAGCCTTGACCAGTTCTTGCGATTTGTCCATCAGCCGCAGTTGAGGTTCTCTGATTTTCGCCTTCTATTCGCCGTAAAACAGCTTGTTGACCGTCATAATCATGTTGTTCTAATCTTTCATCCTCGATCTCCTGTGAATTTCTTAGCCTAGGACTGTGTAGAATGTCATCAATAGCTTGCCAATCCTCCGTTTCTTTGTCTTCTCTCGCTGTAGGGCGTATTACAATTGACGCTTCTTTTACCTGAAAATTTATAAATAATATTATGTAAAAATAGTTTTGAATATTATTCTATGAAAAATCGCTATAGAATAATATGATTACTCTTCGGAAATGGAAACAGGATGAAAAAATATTGTTGAAATCTTTGTAATCAAAAAAGCAGTTCAAAATTTGAATCGATACCTGTCCGAAGTCTTTGTCGTATTGATGTACATATTTCTCGCTTTTTCTTAAGACTAGAGGACTTTGCACAACATTAGCATCATATTGCTTTGCATCCTCTGAAACGGTGGCTGTTTCACCTTCCATTTTTGCTTCATTGTCAACCTTATCTCTGCCATTTTTGGATAGCGGTACCTCTTCATCTTCTTCCCCCTCTTCTGCAACACTTTCCTGTCGTGTGAATTCCATTTCGTCGCTAAAGGTACGACTTAAACGTTTATAAACCGACCCTTCTTCACTTCCGATGTCTTCGCGAGACGTTGATTTACTAAGAACGACGTATTCATTTAAATCAGCTCTTCTTGGTTCCCGCCCTTCTTCATTGTCTTCTTCTTCGCTAGACTCGTTCTCCCACTTCTGCCTGGTGTTCGTCAGAAGTTTTTCTATTTGGTCGACCGCTCTAGAAGGACTTGGGGGTGGACTTTCGTATTCATGTTCTTGGTTGTTCTCCTTCATTATCACTTCGCCATTTACCACAGTTTGCTTCGTGCCGGAAGGTGTTGCCGAGCGATCAATCCACACAAGTTGGTTGAATTCACCACTAGATGGTCTTAGTACAAACGTTTCTTCGTCCCTTGACGGTAACATGATCCCGGAGAGTCCGTTTTTCTTCTCACGATCCTCGACCACATTTGCATTCTCGTCGTACTTCCTGAAAATATTAATTGTTAGACGACTAAAAGTTATTGCTAATTGCTTTCTCCTTAATCCTCATCCACCTGATTTATTTTTGTAACCCTAATACGCGTATTTTATGACATGCTCAGTCTACGAAACGGACATAATGTGTTAACGTAATTCTTAGTTTCCATGCAATCAGGAAAGCCGAAAAGGTAGCTTGACCACGGTGGCAATCGAACCTTTCCATCTTAGTTTTACTGGTTCAGTTGCTAGAACGCGACCGTTCAAATATGTCTAGTTACGGCCCGGTATGTACTAAGAGACAAGGTTCAGAGATTAGAACAACAAAGACTAGAAAACCAAAGGTCGCGCATTTGATTTCCAAAACACATTCGCCAAAAATACCGAATGTATGATCTGGGACGAAATAATGAACCGTATATTTTGGCTACAACTATGTATAGCTTTAAACTATAACAACAAAAATCCAGTTTTAAAAAGCGGCTTCATGATTCAATCAAGTCACTTCTGAGTTGTTAAAGTCAAAGAAATTATTTCAGACCGTAGTTCTGGGGTTTTTTTCTACAGTTTTAATACCAAAGAGCGGCGAAACATCTTACCTTTTCTTTATGTATGCGACTTCTTTAAGATCTAGATAATTAATTTATATATGTTATGTAGTCATTGATATAATTTATATAATCAATTATAACTACTGTGAATCTGTGATCGATAACTGCTAGGGGAAAAACCAAACAGTACGCAATAAAGTAGCAATGAACTTCGGTCTTTTACATTGTAAGAAAATCATTTAAAGGAGTTTATTATGTCATCCAGTTTATGCATCAAGTTCTGTTGGACAAATTGGAACTTATCAAAACACGGACACGTATTGCAAGAAAAAAAAGAGATTATCGCTCATGATTACGAACCTGCACTGCACAATTTTCCGACGTTTCCTCCAACAAATCCTTCTTTGTTTCCTGGAGGACTGTAATGTGCTACCACCACAGAGAACCCATCCTTACCAACTGCTTTTCCAACACCTATCTCCCGACTATCGTGCCATACCAGTTGTGTGAAATTTAAGGTTTCTGGGTTCGGGTTTGCATTAGAAAAGTCGTGATTTTGTATCTCACCGTACCAGCGATGACTTACCTGCGAAACGGAGCGGAATTACAATCAACTGTCAACATAATTAACGGATTTCTTTCACAGAACATTTGTAGAAAACATTACTTCTATTTTACCTTGAAGGCAGTCAAATCTTCCCTTTCAGCATAAGCAATACTCTCACCCGTGTTTTCATCGTTGCTGTACGTGATCTTTCCTGATCGTAATAAATGATCGGCCCAATTTTGAGCGTTGTTCATAAGCAAATGCGATACAGTCAGCGGAGGAGAGGCGTGACGTGCTCGAAGATAATTGACAAAAACAATAAACTCGGTGCGGAATTTCTCCAACTCTAAGCATGGAGAAAGAATGTCAACGTTAACCGTCGATTAGGATTTGTTATGAATATGGAAAACGAAACCATCGCAGGCTGATTAGGCAACATGTGGAGCAGAAAAATATGTCATTTCAAGATGATTTAATTTTGAAAATACGGGCGCTTAAGGAGCTGTTTACATGAGCCCGGTTACCCGAGATTTAACGAAGCGTGAGATTATTTTGAGGTGAGCACATAACACGATCCTGGTAGTCGAATAATCACCACAACAATAGCATGTGATTGTTTGGTGTCATTAAGACTTATTTCAATACCCCAAAGTCCTCTCACGCTTCGTTGAATCTCGGGTTACCGGGCTCATGTAAACAGCCCCTAAAAAGGGCAAGCGAACATATATTTAATTCATGATCAAGCTTCATGCTAATATCTCGCATCCATATGAAAACACGGCCCATACGATTCGACCACCCTTCGAGACTCAAGCGAGTTCGTAATTTAATAAGTATTGCTCCAGTTGTATTCAGTATATTGCGTGCAGGAAGAAGAGTTTGTAAAATATTCTCTAATATAATTTATCTTAAAACTCTTTTCCTTGTTTAACACCAGATTAATTTCATGCATTATACCGCGGTAGACTGTCCGCAAATTTAACAACTCACCACATTGACTATACTCAGCCATCATCCCTTTTGTCGCCACCTCATTGACCACAACGCCATCAACGCTGTCCTCAAGAATACCCACGTTTTCTTTGAATTCTTCCACGATGTTTCCCGGAGGAAAATAATACGCCACAACGATACACATGTCGTTGCTGTATGCCTTGCCAACGCCAAAATACCGACTGCCTCGCCATATCAACTAAAATTTCATAAAAATGATTGTTTAGACCACAATCGTCGTGTACTGCAGGCATTATGGCGCAGGTTGATAAATTAGTGGCCGACATAGACGAGCTGTCTCAGTAAACTGTCTCAGCAAATTGTTATCATTTTCCACCCAAAACTTATGTAAATTTGGAACTTTTTTGAATTTAATAACATTTCACTGCGATATTTAGTACGCTCTTAATAATATTTGTATGCTCTTTCTGGAATACATTTTCCTTAAAAGACGAAGAGCTAGCAATGCAACATGCAAATTGTCCGTTCAAATTTGGATCGTTAGACAGTCATCATCAACCAGCAATCATATGAACCGACGAAAGAAGAATTGAATCAAGTGATAATGAAATAGAAATAACAAATAGGAATATTAATGTGAAAATTATACAGTATACGTGTATAAATTTACAAAATCAATTGCCGGCGTAGCGCGAGATTGATTTCTTAATCACTGATGAGTTGCATCTGCATTAAGAGTATTGTAAATAATTAATTGCCGTAATAGCATTGGGTTGAGCACAATTTAGTGTGATTTCATACCCGTGATTAAAAAATTGCATGTTGCAAGGTAAAATCATCAACCTAATGCATTCATTTTGATAAACTTTTAAACGATTGAAAGTCTTGATATACTAAATATACTTCATTTTTAAAGACGTGTCATCCAAATTTTTGGTATTTGATGTTTATATTAATTATAGCTTTAGCTCAAATTTTTCAAGTTAACCAGGCTTGCGCTTTTATCTAAATTGTTTTTACATATTCACTCTCACGTATTTGGGAAATAAAATATTTAAATATTAATAAAAGATTTTATATGGAAGCGGACTAACTATTGGGAAAGGGAATGGCATGTTTTCAAAATGGACCACCAAAAGTGAAAAAAAAATTCTCACAAATAGCGGTTCTCTCATATCTATATTCGTCATCGTTTGCGTGGGAACATTTTTGTATCGATAACTCAGCCTAGATGATACACTATAAATAGGTCAGTGTCCCAACCCACCGCCGATTACAATCTTTCCTAAACTTCTAAATTTTTTAATGAATTGCAAGGGTAAAGATCGAGGGACTGGCTTGTCCTCCCAGATGTTATGTCATGCCGGTTACCAACCTGGGTAAAATTTCCTGTATCAGGAGAAAACGACGCTTGCTCATAATCAAACAACTTTGATTCATCGTACCACAGTTTTGCCGCCTTCTTTCCATTCAAGTCGTATCCTTTCCGTCCTGCCAAATTTTCCCCATACGCTATATTCTCACTGTGCGTGAAACTTCCAGTATCCAATAAATGTTTTGCCCATTTCTGGGCCTCGTATGCCAGCTTGTATGACCATTGCAACGGCGCCGCTCTGTGCCTTTGACGATACCTGTTATGGGCCAGCAGACAATCCTCTTGAAACTGCTGAAGACCTGGTTATATTTAAAACATACAGAAGCGTAATTAAAACAAATATAAAATATTGTAATTTTTAACAGATATAAGTGCTACAAATTTTAAGGCTGGAATATTAATTATCCAGGGGCCAGTTTTATAAAAGACAAGTTAACTCTTAACTGTAGTTAAGAACAGAATTGGTCAAACAGAGCTGTTGTCTATTTCTGAGTTAATTATATAACTAGGATTGAACTATGAAAAGTGTTGTTATAGAGTTTTATACAAGCGGCCTCAGACGGTTATAACAAATCTACAAAACAAAACATTACTGATTTTTAGGATATTACTAACATTATATGTAATTTTTTAGAAAATATAGAGCATCGAAATAATAGCACGATAATATCTTAAAAATCAATTAACTTTGTTCAACATTTGTCAAATATAAAGTTTTGACCCTACCTGGAATACGCTTCAATGCCAATGTATCCACAAGGTGGGGGGGTTGTATCAGGGAATCTGATTTCTTCAACACATTAGCAGTATAATGATTAGTATTTCCAGGGGGGTGATACCTCGCAACAATAATCTCCTTTCCATGTTTACTTCGAGCACGACCCACTCCTAGCTCACGTGATTCCTTCCAAAGCAACTGTGTGAAGTTCTGGGTAAATTTATTTAGGGTGTCTCTGCTGTAATCATAATCTTTTCCTTCTTCATACCACATCCGTGACACTAAGGTTCCAGTCAGATGTGAGCCCCATGTGCACGCTATATTTTCACTGTAATGGTCGTTCTCGGGACTACGTTCAAACAAATCGCTCTCAGCCAAATGCTCAGCCCATTGTTGAGCACCATCGCAAAGTTGAAATGATAAACTCAAAGGTGTCGCACTATGCTGGGCTCTGTACTGATTGTGAGCTATCAATGTCTCCGTACGGAAACTTTCATTTTCTAAAGATAGATTTCATTATAAATTATTTTGTTATAATACGTAAGGCTACCATAAAATATTGGTACAGGCCCTTAGCCAGTATACCACAAGCACTCCCAGTTACGCAAATGCTATCAATGTGGTGTAGACTATAGACACCTCGTTTACTTTCTTATGGGTCGAATGTTTGCTCATCGGTTGGCATCTAGAGGCTGCTTTCCACTTACGCGTTTTTTATACGCACGTACACGTGCGGAAAATTTTAAATGCTTTAGATACTTATTATTTAACATCTAGCCGATCTAGGTCAACTAAAGCATACTAAAGTATGCAGAAAACTAAGTTCCTTCGATTTATTAACTTAGTCTTTTCAAAGGTAACATGTATAAACTATAAGGATTTAGACTTTTAAGTGCGTGTACGTGCGTATGAAAACACATAAGTGGAAAACAGCCTTAAGAGGAGGTGCTTGAAAAGGGCATCATGGCCTATATCGTAAAGCTAGCGCTGGCCCGGTTAATCATTACATGCATATTGGTAATATTCCTGATGAAATAATTCATACGTACAATGACAATAAATTTTACGATTAAATAAAATAAAAAATAAGAAAAATGTTATTGAAGCTCTATATGACTAAATATAATGACGTCCTTGCATGTACAGAGATCGACACTCCTCTCGTTATTCGAGAGTTTTAATCTATGCAACTGCGTCAGTGTTTGCCTCTTTTGTATTTTGCTAGATTTTCTGGAGACGTCACGGGTGAAAAGCTAGTCTGATGGATATAATGTATATCCTATCACCGTCTGAAAATCTATGTAACTTTGGGAATTCGAATTATATTTAAAGTGAAAATAGCATTCGCAAATAAACAGAAGTTTCCTGTTTTATAATTTATCACCAATTAATATTTCATAGCGATAATCTTGAAAGCAAGATTATTCAAGTAATAACGCGTCGTTACGCTGTGTGTATTTAATATCGTATAGCTATATAATTATAATAGCTATATATTATTTTTGGGAGCGATAAATTTGACATCATTTCAATATTATGGGAAAGTCGGGTTTAGAGGCTACGACATAGGCTAAATATATTGTAAATACAAATGTATAGCCTTTTACTTTATCATTCAATTCAGTGCAGCATTTAAATTCCAAGATGAAATGCATATAGTATATTCACTTAAGTTGTTTTTCAACATCAAGCGGTGACGATTTTATATGCATGCCATGAGAGAAAAGATAAGGCTTCTTTCCGCTTAAGCGTTTCTAGTATGCACTCACACCACTGATGTACGTTAAATCCTTCCAAATTTCATGTTACAACTATGAATAATTTGAAATGATTCGGAAATCTGAATTCCTTAATCTTGTTATATCCTTTAATCTATATTTCAACTTTTCGTAAGGTTCATGAAAAACGATTAAGCTGGAGAGCTACAATATATCATAAATCAACGTTTGTTTTCCCACAGGGCAGTCACACCACAACACATCTGATAATATATACTTTAGTTCACATAAAGGCGGTTTTCTATTACCTCCGCGTCACCCACACAGGCTATAAGAGTACTTTGTTTTTGATCGCGTGACGCCCGCATAAGCCACAATTTGAAAATCGCCGCATGTCGCATTGCCTGCGCGGCCAAAGGAAATGGAAGGACAAACAGCCTTAAGGCCTACACAACTGTGCCTACATACACATACAGACAGCTAGGGCGCGAATTAATGGCAACGCGACGCGAATTTGCAACGATATTTATTTTTTAAAATCAAATGAATTTTAGACTATCATTATATTCTTGTGGATTACATATGGTAGTTTATTTTTGGAAAATAAAAAACTTTGAAAGTTTCCGCCGCGTTGCCAAATCGCGTACGGTCTGTGAGAACCTTGAAGTATATGCATACATATCAGGATGCGCGATATATATGAATACACTCATGATCTCACATGATCTCGCTATATACAGTAATATAGCGAGCCTTACCAATTGTGAAATGACTTCGAGGTTGGCAGTGTTGTTGTTATCTCAAAAAATGAATGGGAGCCGGTTTGGTTCATGAAACCTTATTAATACCCTAAAAGCACCTCAAGCTGGGTTGTATCACTGATAACCAGGCTCATGTAAACAGCCTGTTGCGTATGAATAAACGTAGCTATAAGTGAAGCGTTTAGAAATTAATAAGGTATTTACCATTTTCGCTATATTTTCCGAAATATTTCTTTCTTAAAGTTAGTATATGTACGCTTTTGCAATAACCATATCTGCCCATCTATATAAACCCAAATGCATGCAAAGTGTGCTTCTGTATCTGTCCTTAACTTATGCCTGTGTATGTATATGTAACTTGTGTGTGCATGTCACACAAACCCCAAAAGCTATATTATCATGTTGAGGTACACCAGCGCTTGAGTTCTATTTTTCACACGCTGAGGTGAAGGAGTCTTATTATGACATGGCCTTAAGATATCAACAATCAAGGAGTCTAAATAACAATTACTATAGCAGCGTAAATGAAACTTTTGCCGAAATTCATAAACGGTAATTGCAGAATTAATGCAATTAGAATATGGTTGTCGAAGCCCTTATTAACGGATGAGACAGTATAAGATATCGTAAGATTTTATATATTTCATGATCATGCACTAACAGCTGACACGCCTTTCTGATTAAGACTTAAGATACGCAGTACGCGTGACATGCACAAGTGGGCTGTGGTCCTCATTGTGGACGACATCGCGGTAATTGTCAATAGTTACGAAAATTTAAAATACATCGAGAATGCATAGCAGCAGCTCTATATTTTTCATATAAGAGCTATGACGCATGCCTTAAACCGCCTGAGTTCATATGATCAAGAACATATTATTACTTTCAGGGACAAATTATATTCGCGTGGTTGTTCTTGGAAAACGCCCAATATGTTTTAAATCGATATAAACTTGTCTTATCTAGCGTATGGTTGCATGCATTCATATATTATTGATGATTTTCACTACATGCATGTGTATAGATAAAAATATATTTACTTGAAGTATAACCAACTTTGACATTTCATCGTGCGCATGTATGAGTTTTTTCAAGCAGCAAAATCTTTCGAATATTTTGGCATGGAATGAAACGTGTTTATTATCATGTTTATTCGAATACAATACAATACGATGCAACTGCCTCTTACAACTGCACAATAACAAATACAAATGCCTCTTAAAATAACACAATATTCAATATTCTCTTCACTTTTTCGGAGAATTATAATTTAAAATACAGCTCTTAAAAACATACATATACATATATTTTGACTAGGAAAAGATCTTTTCTGGATTTGTTTGCCAATGTGGGAGATATATTTTATACGATAACGCTTAATTTGATGATTTATATTACTTGTCTGCAAGCTTAATTGTTTCGTGGACAGTGCAATGAAGCTATTAAGCTTCAAACGAATCGCGTTGGATCAAATGAGCGTGTGCTGCAGCTTATATGAGGTGTAATTTTACATTACGCAAATATTGATTCGAAGAGCATGTATTTCATGTCACAGTAATATGTAATAACTGCAGTATTTTGTTTCATTTGAACCCAGAGACTATGAAGTCTGCGAGAAAAAATTATGTTACAAATTATGCGTGTCACTATCGATCTACAAAAATGCTTTAATTTATTAACGGATCGTTATCAGCATATGGCGATTTCATGCATGCAGACAAGGGATATATTAGCAAATTCATGTAATTAATATATCATGAGAAAGTAAAGCATCAGAGAGGGATGAAAAGTGGCCAAACATACTGTGTTATTAACCTACGATACAAAATTTATTTTTAGCTCACTTTAGTACAGATATTCATCCCATAACCGAGCACATTTTCGTCTGCAAGAGACTTGTCGTGCTCAAGTGACCTTTGAAGACCTTAAATGTTTGTTTTGACCTGACTGGCGCTGTCTACGCCGTTGAGCGTCGACATATATACCAGTATTTTAGAGTTTATTACGAGCAAATACTTTATTTCAAATTCCCACTTGCTAACAAGCAAATCATCTATAAATGTCCCGAAACATTGATGGAAATTTCAAGGTTTATAAGAACAGAAATTCAACGCTCTTCATCAAATTTTGGATAGATCGCTGATTTAGCTATAATGTAAAGCGATAAGGTTATAAATATAACGGGATATGTGTTTGTGGTACAGGAACATCCTTTAGAAAAACTAAACAATCGAACGAAAATATCTTTATTATCGGAGAATTTGTAAAGAGAAAATCACACTGGAAACTGATCCGGCTTTAGGACTACTTTCGTTATGCTATAAAGCTACAAATGATTGAATATAATAGTCATTTAAAATATAGAGATAACAAAAAGGACGATGACGAAAAACATGAGCTAGATTTGATAATACAGCGTACACGTAGACGTTGTGGAGCAAATGATACGTTTCTCGAACATTCCGGCTAGCATTGTGTACATTATACTTGACGATTTCAGTGCAGTCAGTCGAATAAAGGCGTGACTGTTTTACATACGTTCCAAAATATTCATATATTTGTCTTAAATGTGAGTCACATACAACAATATAAGATTGAAACAATCGTCAAAACTTACCAGATTTCAGCATGTCTGCTATTTCATTGATTTGAGTAATGAAACAAGATTGCGAGGAACCTGAAGGCGCGATCTACGACTTGAATACTCTGAAAGATTTCGTATTAGCGTGAAACAGGTGGTTCATAAGGCGACTCAACTTTACATACACAATGCGGTCAGACAATTATAATTGTCTTGCCCGCCAATGAAATGTGTTTTTCTATTGAAAAGCGGCAGCTGCTGTTGGAAAGATCTTAATCTTATGCTGTGAAATACTTTAGACCCGCAAAATTCGCATGGCTCTCTCGTATCGGCTTCACGATGCAATGACAATCCACTTGGCCGCTATCTTACTTGGGCAATCTATGGATACGATTCCCGCGCGCTTTCCCAGAGGGATTTCAAGTTGTGATATTCAACACCGATCAGTAAACACGTCAATAAACGATACGTCTGCATGCAGTATTTACGACATACTATATGCGAATATGCATGTCTAGTTTTATGAACGACTATATATCATATCCGTAATAATTATATGCATGCATGTAATTTATCAAAGAGTATGGCACTGATTATTTTTTCAACTGTGTCGGGAATTAGCCTTAAGGTTCAACTGAAGTGAATTTACTTTTTTATATAACTACATCAGTCGAGAGTTTTCCCAGCCACACAGCCATATTTTAAATATTTTATACAACAATGTAAATAAAGGTTGACGCGTGTTTTAAAAATAAATGTAAGATTAATGCGATCAACGAATGAGTTTTTCTTCATATAATTGCAGATAAATTTGAGAAAAGCGCATGCGTTTCTTGCTAAACTGTGTAAGAAAATAGGTTTTAAGAACAGGCTTGAGTACTATTTTTCCAATCTGCTTCTAACCTCTGGCTCAGAACCAACCCACTCGCGTCCTCTTGTTGAGAAACAACGCTGGCATGCAATGCAAACAATTTATATTCATCGCGGCTCGCTCAATGCACAGAAAATATTTTATCCAAATTTACGTGTGCATGATATGAACAAATATAACAACTCAAAAGGATTAAAACCCTGCAGAAAAGCATGCAGAAAATCTCCGCGGTATATTTTCAGACATGTTTATTTGCTGAACCGTATTTGATTAGAATTTAGACTGTATTGCCGGAGGAGATCTTAGCATTTCCGTGAATGAAATTTTGGTTCTTTGTATATTCCATGAATAAAAAATCGGCCGTTTTCCACAGCGAAATTGCGAAAATCATCTCTTAGATATATGTATAAAATCACGAGTTATCGCAGAGCCCATGCACGTGGCTGATGCGGTTAGCGCGCTGTCTCTTAACACTGAATTAAGGTTGTAGCCATTTGTTCGAAATGCGCTTAGTCTATTGGATAAGCCGAAGTTTAAAAATATTCTCTCATGCATCTGATCAATGACTACACCTACACATCAAGAATTTAATACATACTTCCATTTAAAATTAAACAATTAACTGTGAAGTATTTCAGCTAGTTGCTCAATAAATAGATAATCAATTTCAGTTTTGCATTTTTAAATTAATATTTGCCGGTTTTTTTAAACGCCTTTCTAACAGCCAGCCCCTGGTTAAAAACATGACAACGTGATCTCCATGCAGTGGTACAGTGAGTCAGCGTAACTTGAGGGAACTCCATAGAGGCTACGGCACAAAAGTAATAAATTCCATGCATCATGTAAAATAATTTAAGATTTCTGTAGCTCCCTTTCTCTCTGTTTTCATGTGTTTCTGTCTTTATTTCTGTGTTCAACCGTACCTACCATCGGTATACTGATGTACTTCATATCTCTTTATATCTCCTCTAGTAAAATATCTCAAAGATCATAAAACTTAATGATGTAAAACGTCCGTATAGTTTTGAGTTTAAACTTTGTATTCCGTAGTTCCGTAATTGTATGCGCATGCATGCTGAATAAAAACGATGTCGGTTATGTAGTAATTCACTAAAAACAGGAATTAACAACAGGGTTTTTTCCCGAATAACTTCAAAAACAAATATTGCAGCACATTAATTATTAACAGCTTGTTCCTATATTGTTAACGACACTGTTTAGATAATGTTGCAGGGTTTCAGCACACTCTATTTTTTGCGAAATTGAATGAAGAAAAGACATGAACACATGAACTCTGGTCTATAAATGATAATTATTGGATTGATTTGATGATGACTGCACGGGAGTCAGCACACGTGAAATCGTTAACACTGTTTACGGTTGTGTTGCACCACCCAACTTTCCTTACAACTTGCAATGCATTTCTACTGCTGAGGCACCTAAAGTTGTCCAATACGAACATTTCTTACGATCTGCTAACATTTTCTTATAATTCTGAACACTCTTTGCGTATTAAAATTATTCTCAAAATTATTGCATTGCAAGTTGCAAGGAAAATTGTGTAACAGCGCCATTTTTGCCATTTTCTTAAATTCTGTGACCATTTTCGTTTTTTTATTGATTTTACGCGCATTTTACAGAAGTAGAAATGTCTTGAAAGGCAAGCCTACGCCACACAAAGAACTGTTTGATGTTCATGCCGAAAAGCACCTATTTATTATCAATTAAAGAAAAAAAACAGTGTTTAACTTCCTGTATAAATAATTCGCTTCAGCAACGATATCGAGAGGAGCTACAGCACGAAACGTGAGATAAAATGCCTTCAACACAAGAAGAAAGAAAGTTTTTCAACGGTGTGCGTTGCCTTTTGTTTGGATTAACAACCATTGCTCTTATCTGTGGAAGTGTAATAATAAAAGAGGTGCATGAAACTGATCCTTGCATGGAAGGCAATTTCCGGTTTCAGGGCTATTTGTGTAAGTACCACTGAAATTTTGTATCGAGCATTTTGTATGTACCCGGTCAGATTTACATTACTGGTAGCCGACGAAAAAAAAACAATGTCAACGACAACTAAATATTCGGCAAGTCGAAAAACAAGAAAACATGAAATGTTCGATTCGCTTATAATCGTTGCAATTCCCCCCACTCGAGTTACGTTTTATTACCCTACTGGTCGATCTGATCACCCGTTAACGGAAACTCGAAAGCCGAAATACGTATTGGAGCCTATTACCCAGCCGTTTCAGCATAATTTTCTTCAGAAATGAGAATATTACGAGGACAGTCTCATGTTCATAATTGCATGCACGAGCAATTCGACACATTCCCCGAATAACATTCAATAAGTTCTTCAGATCGTGTTCAGTTTTGTGTATATATAACCCCCGAACCGTGCGAGGGTACTAACTCCGCTCGGAGATTTACACGCGGGTATTTTTATGTCATGGCCGCAGTGAACTTCATCGCGTCGCCCTTTTTCGGTTAAAACGGTCCTACAAGTGCTCCATAAGTTTTAGATCTGGAATTTGAGGTGGAAAGCCATGAAAAAGCGATCACCAAAACGAGTTTGCTTCTAAAAGATTTCTGGCACATAGAAGATGTGCATCATTCCTAATCATCGGGCGGAATTAGTAACGATAAATGGTAACGATAATGTTGTGATGGAATTATCAAAAGAGTCTATTTGCTTTGCGGTTTTCAGTTTAACACCAAAAATTTAGGACCACATTCTGCGCGACGATTGAATCCAGTAGCCAAAATTACTAGCCCGCTGTGGAACAACATTTGCCACTTGCTATCGATTAAAAAAGCATAAGACAAAATGAGCTTTTAAAAAATTGGATACCGCGAATTAAGCAACTACCAATTTCTACCATACAAGCACAAAGCTACAGGACAGTGTCATGAAACCGGCAAAATTTCAACAATTTTCCTCTCTTTAAGTTTCTAGTACCTGCTCTAATTCTCACATTCTCTCTGCGGTATCAAGACGTGAATTAGGTGAGGAAACGTCAAATTGTGTTTGGTTGATTATCACGTTTTATTAGTTTATTTTCTCAGGCAGGGGGGTCATAAAAGTATAGGAGCTAATTCAGGTTTTCACTGTAATTAGAATTTCACAAATGATATAGCAAAACGCTTCCCCTAATCAGTACAATCTCAATAAAATTATTATAGTCTTTTATAGATACAGTGTTTTGACAGATAGAATTACATGTTAGTTAGATAATACCTCATACTTCTTCTACTTCCTTAAAGGTGGGTCCAGTCCTGGCTACAAACTCAGTTGGAATAATGCTTGCAATTGGTGGATTGCTCCGTTCTACCGTGTTATTCCTTCGTGCGCGAAAGTTTCATCGTTCTCTAGACTGTCACTTCCGTATGTACCCAATAGCTGATTCTCGATTCCTGATTTACGATTTGCAATTTGTTTGTTTAATTTGATCAGCAATCAATCATTTCATTTCCTAATTTTTAGTCGAGTATCTATCTATCTATCTATATCTGCGGCCAACGTTTTTGCAAATGGGTGTATATATATATATATATATATATATATATATATATATATATATATATATATATATATATATATATATATATATAATCTATCATCTCTAAACTAGGGTATCGTCTCTTTTGACGAAGGCCCTATAGGCCTCAGGTCGAAACGTCGAGAAGTTTTTTGTTTATTTTAGGCAGTTGTTATACCACATTTGATGCTCTTATATAAAACAGTCTTAAACAAGCCTTTTCTTTATTTTCATAGTTACAGAATCATGTGAGAGGCGATTTACTGAAATGATGGCTCAACTTGTGTTACTCATTGTTTATGCGGCAATTATCATCGTCTGTTTCGTTGTATCAGGCTACGGTTGTGCTAAAATGCTACCGACACAACAGGAAATTAAACATTTTTGACGTGATTTAGATGTGCGAGATTATTAGAACAACGTTTTAGTTGCTTCTAAAAGCCATCTTTCAATGCAATATAAAACAAAGTATTGCGATGCAACAGACGAGTACTGTGGACTGGTGCTGTTCGTTTGCGGAGTCTTCATTCAATTCCATTCCATAATTATTGGTTGGTGTAAAATTAAAGATGAACTGCAAATATCCGCCTTCGCTTCGATGCAAGTTACGCTGCTGCTGGCACCAGATACAACGAATATCGCAACTTGAGTCTGTATTTTTATTCACACATGCACCTAGTGCACGTTGATATACAGAACGCATATGAAGGACACACTTGCTCACTCTCAAACACAACGTTACGGTGACAACACACAGCACAATGCACCTAATGATTTTTTATTCTCTTGACGTATAGCTAATAGCCATCTTTAATTGAAACCATGATTTCATTTCATTGTTCCCGTTTCAAGTTGAGTAGAATGCCGGATACCAATATTCAAAGTCGGTTATAAAAGCTCACACACAAATAAAATTATTAAGATTTTGAAAAACCATTCAAACAAATTCAATGGTAGATTTGTGTTACAAAATATACTTTAGCTAGAAATTTGTAACCATATAGTAGCATTCATAGTTCAGGTGCTGTGAGTTCAAAATTGTGCTATGGTCGTTTATTTTGAATATCGCTGGATCACCTCGATATTGCTTCAGTTTATTCGGCACTGATTCACTGATTTATCACTGCATGTATAATGACCAGTTTGCTCCTTAATCACAGTTTAATTAAGTAATTGAAATAAAACTTGCTGAGATGTTTTTCGTATGCCAATTACGATTATTTACTCAACCATCTAGAGATAGTTAATTGCTTATCAGTAAAATTAATTATGTTTCATCTCAAAGTTTCATTTTACTGGTTGTCAAAACTTCTCGTGCAAAGACACTTTAAAACTGCATGCATGTGAACATTAGTTTTATTTTAGCTAACAATGACACAATCGTAGCGTCATAACATCTTGAAAATGACAAAACTGATCAATATTTTTAGAGACACAGTGCTGCCACTCACCCTGAACAAGATAACGGCACGGTAATGGAATCAGGAGTGCAATCACCACACGAACAGCCTTGTGCGTCTGGCAATATCGACAATGTCAATGCACCATGCAGACGTCCTTCCTGGAGCAGAAACGGAAAGACTCGTGAAATAAATATTCATCGATTAACTGTTGGAGCTTGCACACTATAATAGTTATAATACTACACTAGGTTCCGTTTTTATACCGGATGGTAATGACAAGCAAAAACTACACTGGTCTTCATTATATTAAGTGTTGACAAAAAAATTTTTAGTCATGGCAGTTTACGTAATACAGTTTGCTTGTTTCTCAAAGTAAAAAGTATATAGGCACGTCATGATCTTATAATTCTGAAATAAATGTTACTTTCAGGTTCTTACACATAGATAATGCACAGATTTCACGAATTAGAAGACGAACTGTCTTTCGCTTGCCCAAGTTGTCGAATACAATTAGGTATACGGATACCCATTTTAGGAGTGCAAACGGGGCGTTAAAGTATGTCGAGGTCTTAATGCATGACGGGTGCAATGTGTGAGAATATCCCTTACGCCAAGGGCTTTGAGATAGTGATTGCGACTACCAACCGATCATCCTACATCTCAGTACATCGCAGTTGAACATCATTAGCAAGATACTCATTTTACCAGGCGAGACCTCTTTTAAGAAATTGCAGTCAATGCATGCCAATGAGAAATATTTCTTTATATAAATGGGTAAGGTGATTAGCATTAGGGCCTGTTTATATCAGCCGGGCTAGCCTAGCTCGCTTCTGCTGACCCACTTGATGGGTTCATATTAGCCTGTTAAACGGAGATCTCGCTTCGTTCAGACGGGATCTCGGCAGAGCAAGGCTGGTCTTGTTCATATGAATGCAATTTTACAAATATGGTGAAAAACTGGACTGGTCTTATATATAAACAGGCCCTATCGGTTCTCTCAATAATGTTAACGTTATTATAATTATCTATTGAAATGTGGTTGCCTTTGGCAAAAGATTTCTTCCTATAACTAAGCTCTTAAATCATTTACTCTAAGCTTTTTTGCAAGAGCACGATCGAGACACTTACCTACAAGCCACTGAGTTTTTGCGTGGGCTGATGCTACAGTGAAATTGCCAATAACACTTTTATACAAATGAACTCAAGTGTTAAATCTAAACAAAACGAATTGATTGGCAACTTCCTGTATATATTTGATACTTCACCTCAGCATATATATAGCCATATCAAAGGAAGGCAACTTAAAAGTCAGCAAAACAATATTTAAAATGCCTCTATCGCGGCGAGGAAGAAAGTTTTTAATCGTTGTTGGTTGTGTATTGTTGGTATTAACAGCCACATCTCTTATCTGTGCAAGTATAGCCATGAATAGGTTGTATGACAAAGATCCGAAGGAAGCAAGTTTAGGTTTCCAAACTATCTGTGTAAGTACATATACGTACAGTACCACTGATATTCAGTGTGTCGAGGAGAGTTTTACCAGGTCAGCACACTTGAAAAGGTTTACTTTACCGCCGTACGTCTACAATGACACCGGCAGTTTAACGTTCTGTACGTCGGAAAAATAAAAATGATACAAAACTGTTTTACAAATTGCTATCTTGAACGTCGCAATATTTATTATCGCACGCTTGAGCGGTATACGCGTAGGCAACGTCACACACCTCCGGACAACGAAATGTCTATTCTACCTATATAACCTTACCGTAGACTTCTGGGGGTGTAATTGTGCTCCTTCCAGATCATCTCTAGTTTTACAGTTATGACACAACTTTCTAAATGGATACCCGTACCATTTTCACCCGTGCTGGGCCTTCAACCTAGCTGTGCCAATGAAGTTGACGGTACTCACGGTAGTGTAATCGGGGGGGGGGGGTGTTTAATATAAAGCGAGTCAATGCGATCAACTACAACCTGTTTATCAAGAGAACACAATGTAAGGGAGTCTCATTGTAAAGCAGTTGCAGTTAAAGTTTGCTTACCTAACCACGCTTAGCGACATCTTATTAAATTGCAGAAGTACGTTTGTGTATCTGACTTTTGAGCACACGACACCTGTAAAGTACGATATCGTTAAATTAAATCATTCGAATTTCTCTCTCCTTCAAGTTTTTAGCGCCTGCTCTTCTGTCCATACTGTCTGGCGTGAGACAAGGAACGACTTTGGTAAGGAAAAGCTCTATTCTATTCAAGAATATCCATATCAATCCCTTGCAATTTTCTTGGAACTTCGCTACTATCTTGTACTTATTTCCCTGTAGCTGGGTCCAGCCCTGGCTACAAATTCAGTTGGAATAATGCTGGGAATTGGTGGATTAACTAATTCTATCCTGTCCTTCATCAAACGAAGGCGTGCCTACTTTAGTTGCCCGACGGGTATGTAAAACAGTAAATTTGAGTAAGTCTTCTAGTTTTGCATACTTGCTTGTCGATCCGACGTACCAATGAGCCAATGACTGCGATGTGTAGCCTCGGAAATTATCAAACGCAATTACAATAAGTGGCTACATCACCTTGTACTCATTTCATTTCACATAATTATATTCTTCTCTTAAGAGTCTGTTTACAGGGAGCGAGTTATCCCGGGTAGGTGAGGTAAAAACTGCATCATAACAAAAGACTAATCAGATTAAACTTTTGATCTGTGGCGCTTTTAACCTCGCCTAGCCGGGATAACTCGCTCCATGTAAGCAGACCCTAATGATTACTATTGTTTAGTTCAAAACGTAAAACTCGCATTTTTCGAAATTAGATTTTTTGTTTTTTTACGTTTCAATGTAGAATCATACAGTTGTTCTGACGAGAAAACTTTGATGTCTCTTCATCTTGTATTAATCATCGTTTTTGTCGCATTTATCGTCGTGAGTTCTGTTGCATCAGGATTTGGTTGTTTTAAAATTCTATCCAAACGACAGGTACGTACGTCAGATAATCCGATTCAATAATGCCGCAGTTGCACTCGTTGTTGACAAGCAAATTAAATCTCGCAGCGCATCAAAAAAGTGGATTCCATTTCAAGTATTTCTCCAACTCCCTGCATTGTAGTTTCTTTCCATTTTCTATACTGCGTCAGACCTAGGAAGTAAAACTTTGGAAAACGTTGCTGAAATTTTTTGGGATATTATATTCTAGACACGTTCAATCAGGGTTTTTTTATACTCGATATCTAATATGTTAGGAATCCGAACAAGACCGCGGAATGGTAATGACTAGACAGCAATTATCATATCTGGAACAACCTGGAACTACCAGTAATACCAACAACGGCAATGACATAAATACCATTGAAAATGAGAATGAAAATGAATATGAAAATGATGACATGCGTGTAGGAGAATTGGAAAAACTCATCAATGTTTGAACTGCTCGGCTTTGTCTTGGTGGATGAGCGTGTCTATGCAGGGCCGTAACTAGAACGATAATTGGGGGGTGTTTATTCATATATTCAGTTCTGCCCGACGGGTTTCTATTGTAAGCTATTGCACTTACAAAAGAAACCCGTCGGGCAGAACTGAATATATGAATAAACACCCCCCAATTATCGTTCTAGTTACGGTCCTGTGTCTATGGTGCATATCTACTACTTCTACGAATATCCTGGTAAATTCGCACGAAAATTAGATGGATTTCCCGTACTAAACGGTTTGTTTGAAAATAAAACTCTTGACCATTTGAAGCGTTTGGAGCATGAAATGTTGTTCAATTTACAATTTCTCGGCATTTTATTTTAAAAAGAAGAGACACATGAGCAATAACAACTGTATCTGTATCTTTTCATCATTGTCACATCCTCCTATAATTGCTGTCTACTGGGGCAGTCCACATGCAGGAGTGATGAGCCTGGTTAGCCAAGATTTGACAAATAAAGCTGAAAAGGACTTTCAGGTAATAAAATAAGTCTTTATGAAGCGAAACAAGCACATGTTATTGTGGGAATCGATGACTACACGACTGCACGGATCATGTTATTTACTCATTTTAATACCTCAAGTCATCTCACGTTTCGTTGAATCTCGGCTAAGCAGGATCAACAGCATTTAAAACGCTTTTAGTTAACACAAACATAGTCGATTTTAAATAATTGATATCGATTTCCGGTCTCATCGATAAATATAAAAACGCCATGATCTCTTAAATGAGCTCTTTAGTAAAGTTTTTTTAGAGTAGGTATTAAAATCCGGTTAATAGCCATAACTGGTAGTATTGGCATATCCATATAGAGGGTGCCCCCAAAAAAAACGTTTCCACTATTGAAATCAAGCCACTATTAGAATCCGATTGCCTTAGGATATTAGGATAAACCCAATTGAAAGCAAGACGCTTTATTTGAATGCCTCAACCTAATAACTATGCTATTTACACATTGTGTAAATCTACTGCGTTGATCATGCATTCAAATTCCAACAAAAGCTTCATTTCAGGGGGAGGAATATTTTGGGACACCCTGTATAGACGTTCCGCGCTGTTTATTCCCCACGACCTCTTTCAAGTTCACGTCTTCGTTCTGAAGGGCAGTTCACATGAGCCGGCCCATGTGAACACCCCCTAAATGTGCCTATTTATTTAAAGTGATGACCCGTTTGTTCTACGCCACATTGGAATATATTATATTTTGGAATGCGACACTTATCAAAAACTCCTTTTTTGCTGCTTTTTTAATTTTAAATTTATGTAAACCCTGTAATAAGTTTTGGTTGAGGTAGGGTCGCAGCTCCTCGCAGCTCCTCGCAGCTCCTCGGAACTTTACAATACATTTCCGATTCAACCAATAGCATAGCTTCGTTCGTTAGAAAGCATAGAAAAGCATTCTCCAATTGGACGAAAGCTTCCGAGCACTGCGACATGTCCCTTTGGTTGGTATTCTCCAATTCTAAAGTAATTGTCCATTCAGAGCAATTTTACTGAAATCTACAGTGAATCGGCCTATAAAATTAACATGTACTACAAGTACATGTAGCTTGTTATCAAGATGCAGGATAAAAGGTACTAATTAATAATATTCATTTTAATAATAAAGTTCATTTTTCTACAACATCGCGTGTTTTTAACTGCGTCATGGAATGTATTCCCTCTGAGTAAGTAAGGAGATTACATTCCTCTTCAGGTTGGCCTCTGAAATTGTTCTATGATGAATGATCATTTCTTAGCCTATCGACAAGCCAGGACGGCAATTAACAGCAAAATAAATTTAATGTAAATCGAGATTGAAATTGACTCTCGAATAATAGCAAATAGCTACAGAGAAATTGGTTATATAGACTAATTTCAACGCTGATCCAGCACTAATCAATCAAGTATGATGTTTGCCGGAACGTTTTTATAGCTTTTGCCGCAAAATGATCTTGTGTGCGACTGGCTTAATTCGAGGACTATAAATTACATTGGATTTAGCCGTTTTACCCACAATGCAAATCCAAATGATAAGACTTGAGTGACGTATTGCGCACAATACAACAATTGATTCCAAAGCGTCGTTTATTTATAAATGGAAACAATTGGTAAAATAATATTTAACTGAAGACGAAACAATTCTGAACTCTCCATATTCATTTCACGTCGCCGCTGCTGTTTCAAAGAAAGCAAGAACATGCTTTTTTCACAGAAAGCAAGGCTGATTTTCGTTATTATTGGCTTTGTGTTGATAGGATTAGCAACCATTTCTTTCATCTCTCGTTGTGTCATAATCAGCAAGATGCACAATATTAATGTTAGCGAAGCAAGCTTGGCTTTTCAGTCTATTTGGGTAAGTATATAGAGCTGAAATTGATTGACTGATATAGAGCTGAAATTGATGTACCCAGTCGACATAGTCTCTTTTCTAGCAAATGATGTAACAAATATAAGTTTATTAAGTTTTAAAACGTATTTGAATTACTCGCAGTTTTCACCTCGCCTAGCCGAGATAACTCGCTCCATTTACCCTGTCTATAATCAGTGGCGTAGCCAGCCTGACGATTTTGTCCCGCTATGTAAATTTCGAGTTATTATAATTATTCGTGTCTTTAGAAATCTATTGTTTTCACAGTCAGTGAACTCCAAAATATTAGCATAGCGGGACAAATCGTCAGGCTGGCTACGCTACTGTCTATAATGACGATAGGGAACGGTGTATTTAAAATGTGACTTTACGAAATTTAGTCTTAGTATTTTTACGAAATAGTTTCCATTTTAATCTTGAAATATGTGACGAGTGATAGAATGTGTAATCTTTGAAAAATACTGCAATGTAAATGTATGTTTGTTAAATAAAACGCCGATTGAATTAAATAACCTGGGGCCAGTTGTATCAAGCCCGTTTAGCTTGAACGGTGGATAAGTCAAAATTAAATAACACTTTTACAACTCTCTTGAATGAGTCAACTTGAATATTATGCACTGAATATGTAGTTGTAAACAGTATCTTTGTATTAAGGTTGAAAACATTTAGTTTGCTTATTGAATAAAACCACAGACTTGCTTTCTATTTTGAACTTATCCACCGTTTAGGCTAAACAGGTTTGATACAACCGGCGCCTGACATATATTTTCTGCTGGAGGGTGCACGTATGCATGTATGCTCTTGTTCGTTGCAGTGGCAGCCTTAGACTTAGCCTTAAACCAGCCTTAGATTATCCCAGAGTCCCCACTACTTCCACTGAAGGGTACAGTACAAGATTAGGATAAGCTAAAATAGTGCATCCACAGCCTGAATATTGCTAACTGAAAAGAAATAAAACAGGAAAACATCTATCCCTAATTTATGTATTTTTTTAATACTAGTTCTGCAGTAGTAAGCTTATTATGAAAAAAGTGTAAAAGCCTATCCAAGGTTTCTATCTTTAAGTAAATGCTACATAGACGTTATATATATCATTAAACTGTTGACAAAAAGAATTAAAGTCTTCATGTTATATAGCAATCTAAAACGGCCAGCTATATTATATTTATCATATCTAGTGATGCGTGCACTATGTAATAACTATTCTTTTGTTAATTCAACTGTTAAATCTATTTCCTGCATATTTGTTTTCTGCCTTTCGACTTGCGTGATGGCAACGATCAGATCAGGTTACTGTTGATTAGGAAAAGCTGAGGGTGTTCGAAGTTCTTCGATCAACTGCAGAATCAAATCCGCTGTGACATGCGGCATCAAACAAATACGAGAATAAATTCTGCGTTCAAATTCACCATCCGGAGTTTTTACGTTCAGTGCCTTCGAAGCCAAGGAGTAACGACGGACGATGTCCTGTCTTGGCTGCTTAAATAAGATGAACAGTGACCCAGGCGAATGCAACAACCACAAGTCCAACTTCAGATCTCTTTCCAGATCTCGGAACTTACCGAGTGAAAACGTCACCATTGCCTCCTCACGCACGACTATTTCTACGAGATCGTTGTAAGATTTCCTTGAAAGCAGATCCCATAGTACCAATACACTATGCCCGTTTCTTGAACCAGATACAGTGCTGTCATTCCCGCCGATAAATGAGGGATTTTCAAAAGGTTTTACTTGATCCATCTTTCTCATCATGAACAAGGCAGCAGGAAAAGGGCAGCCAAACCACTTGTGGAGACTAGTTGCGATTGACTTCACCTCAGGAATACGGAAATCAAACAGAGGGAAACCATCTGGAAACGAATCTTCGACCAAGCCCTGATTCATCGCCATCTCAAGGAAAGCAAGTTGCCCCCCACCACTTGCACCGTCTATATGAAACCAAAATCCACTACGAACATCAAATTTTGTTGGACTCACAGAAGATTGTACCGGGCGTTCGTACATGTTGTGTTCTTTCAAGATGGGCACAAGCTTATCAATGGCAGCTTTTGGGTTGTCGTAAGCTCCTCTGAATGTGGTACCACTTGTGAACACGATCAGGGGGGGATAACCTCTAAACAAGAAAGGAGTGACAAGTTTTACAAGACATGGTATGTTCATCGCACCAACTTCGTCAACAGGTACAGCTCGTGGCCAACCGTTTTTATCCAGATTTTCACCATTGAAACATGTCGGGTAATCGTAAGGAAATTCCAATGGACACGGAAAATGTCCACTGCCAATTTCCCGGAATGTTTTCATCTGCAACATGTGCAACGCTTTCAAATTCCCATGATAACTTTCTTCTGAAATGAACACAACTGGCGTGAAGTTGTTGGGATTGGCTGCCAAATTTCGTTTTGTGCATACATCGGCGGAGGGAACGTGGTTTGGGACAAGGGTACGATATGTTTCGTTTATTTCTGTGCCGGACTCGCCGCTGATGTCTTGAAGTAGATTAGGATCAGTAAGTGGCATGCCAGCTAAATAATCTCTCGCTGTATAAAAAGCGTACATATTACCTTCGGTGCATCCCATGGTCGTGACATAACCCCAGTAAGCTCGTTCTTCTTCGTTGCTAGGGTATGATTGACGTGTTCTCCAGAGCTTGTCGCCGTTGCTAGGTTGTGATGGACGTATTATTCCCCAGAGCTTTGCAAAATATTCCAGAACAGCACGTTCCATGACTATTGTGTTCGTACCGTTCAATCCTGAAGCCGAAAACGGATCGCCAAAATTGTTTATTGCCATGTCAAAGAAGGGTTTAATTCTATCACAATCAAGATTTTGGTTCGCTTGAAAGCCTAAATATCCTCTTTGATGGGACGTTAAGTCCCTGTGAAGTTTATTCCAAGCGATTCTGCGTTTGTTTAGTGAAACACCATGCTCTGATAGTCTCACATCTTCAATGTTTACATTTGGCCTATAGTCGCGGTGGACTTCAGAGTTGTTCATCTTTTTTTAACTGAAAATTATTTCTTGTCCGCTACAGAGCCCTTCAGCCGTTTGCAAATAACTTCTTCTGAAGGAAACAGAAACACACCATTTAAACCTTATTTTTGAATTCAAGGTACTTAAATCATTTGGATTTGTTTAGGTTTTATACCCTGCGTGCAAAGTCGAGAGACACTGATAACGTAAGACGTAATAGTTACATTTTTTAATTAAGAGGAGATTTTTTATGTGCAACGGATTTTGGTTGGAAAACGTTAAAAACATCAAGTCTTTTCGTCGTGTATATTCTCCATGCATATTCTAGTTTTGTCCGTAACATTAGCAATGTAGTTAACTAAGTCGTCGTCAGTATAATTTACGGTTGTTGCAAAACACCTAAGCAGGTTTACTGGGCTGGAATTATGCATATTGCATTTGCATAGGTAAATACTAAATTGTTCAGAATTTAGGACGATGCGAAGTAAGAATAGAGCATGATCACGTGTGCTCTATGGGATATATAGTCCAGAGAATCCTCAGCCCCGAGTGACCTTGTGTCTAATTCGAGGAACTTTATACCACATTGAACACAATTAAATGATCATGCTCTAACCGTCTTATGGGCTGTTTACATGAGCCCGATTACCCGAGATTCAACCAAGCGTGAGAGGACTTTGAGGTACTGAAATAAGTATTTTAGACATAAAACAAGCACATGCTATTTTTGTGGTGATTATAAGACTGCCAGGATCATGTTATCTGCTTATTTCAATACCTCAAAATCATCTCACGTTTCGTTGAATATCGAGTTACCGAGCTCATGTAAACAGCCCCTTAAGCTCGTTTTCCACTAGGTGAATTTATTCGCGCGACGCGAAGCGATATCTGAGATGCAGTAATGTGATTGGCTTGCGAAAAATTTCGCCCCGAAAAGTAGGATCGCTTCCTACTTTTTATCTGTTTGCGCGAACAAATTCGCCTAGTGGAAAACGGGCTTTAGAGAATGGCTTGAGAAGGGATTGAATTCATTAGTGACCTTAAATAGAGTTGCTAATGACTTCAAAAAATCTCTCATAATTTGATGAATTGGAAACACTATGAGATATAGAGCATGGAAATAATAGAAGCTGATTGGCTGAGTGAAGATAGCTATTCTCTAACTATATTGAAGAGCATTTAATAGACCTTAATGTGCATAATGACGTATCAAGACGCCTACAGGGAATTCTGGTTTTAGTAGTCACGGCGAAAAATTCAATAAAAAACTTATTTACCGAGAACTCAGAAAACATGATGTTTTGTGAATCTTACATCAGCCTGTAAAAATCAACTTACAGCGGATTACGTTTCACTACAAAACAACAAGCGTTCTCAACGCATGTTGGGTCGTTTAATATATGCATGACATTTGAAATGTCATGCGCTGTTGCACATGCACGAAATTGTCTGAAACTTTAATAACTTATAAAACATATTTCAAAAGATTTCCCTAACGATGCGTGCGCGATGGTCTAGAAGACATTTCCCAAGTGTAAACTTTTTTCTGATACACCCTGTAGAATATAGATATACGTAGGACCGTCGTGCAAACGATGATCCAAATGATGATACAAAAGTATTCTTTATAAAGTGTTGAATTATTATTACAAAAGAGCCGTTCTTAATTCGCTTTATTTGAAATGCCTGCAAAGCGTATAAATTATCTGATTAACATGAGGCTTCTGTAATTTAGAAATTTCGCGTTTCATCTGAATAAAATTTTCCTTTATCATACCTATAAGTTCCCTCAACTGAAGCAGAATCCAGAGTTTACCTTTAAGACGTCACTGTTTTGCTTAAAATAAACAAAGAACCTGCCGATACTGACTCAGCATCTTGTTACACAGTAAATGACCCAACTGTTCTAAAGTGTCGTTGTAAAGGTCACAAATACTTTAATCTCTATCGTAATTATCGCTACACTGGTTTTAATAATTGAAATTGATCACCACACAAAGATTAACTTTCACGACCCAAAGTTTCGACACTCCGGTCTAGTGTCTTCATCAGGGGTGATCTGATGTTGAAACTCAGTTTCTTAAAATTTATACTCTCAAATGACGTCATCTATCAATCAGATGTAAATATTCTTTTGGCAAATAGCTGCTGCCATACCTATTTAGGGCACAAAGACTCGCATTAATATACCAAGATTCCAAAAAACGCCTTTGTCCATAATGATCATTAGTGGTAATGACTTTTGAGTCATTCCACGCAATGTTATGTTTAGTTTGACATATACGAGTTCCGCCAAAGCGGATTTTGAACTGTCTAAGTTCGAAACGACATTTTGACGTTCTTTTAAACGTGTGCCGAACTGGCGTTTTGTTTCACCTAGATATTTTTTCTCGCAATCACCACATGGTATAGAGTATACAGCATGAGTTTTCTGTTTAGTCGCAACGCGATCCTTGGGTTTCGCGAAAATATGTCCCAGTGTCTGAAAGGGTTTTAAGGCAACTTTTATACCACAATTATTCAGGAACTTTTTGTTTGGTTCTGCAATTCCCTGAATGTATGGAACTATAGCAAAACCTGTTTTTGAGAAATTACCCTCCGAGGAATTGCATTGGGTCGCGACAGGGGATTTTAGAAAATCATGTAAAAATGTGGATAATTGTTCTCTCTCAGTTCACTGAGGACATAATCACGCTCGTTGTCCCTAGCAACGCGATTGGATTTTAACAATTCAGCTCTTTGAAACAAAGTTTTTGCAAAAGACCTTTTATGCCTTTTTGGATGGTTTGAGTATAGAAAGATAGATATTAATTTTGTGCGTGTGTGTAGGTTTACGGTAAACATCAGTTTCTAACTGCCCTTCGATCTTTCTATGAACATAAGTATCCAAAAAAGCCAACTTTCCCTCATTCTCGCGCTCTACAGTGAATTGAATTGATGGCTCAATAGAATTCAAATGTTTCAACAAATTATCGAACGCATTTTTGTTAACCGCAGAGGCCACGTTGTCAACATATCGTTTCCAAAACAAAGGTTTGACCGGACTAGAGGCTAAAGCTCTTTGTTCGACATCTTCCATTACTTGGTTAGCAATTACTGCCGAGACCGGTGATCCCATCGCTGTCCCAAAAACCTGCTGGTAATAGTTGCGTTCGAAAGTAAAATAAGTCGTATTGAGACAAAGGATAAAAGATCGATTATATCCTCCTCAGGTAACGATGTTCTTTGTGATAAAGAAACATCTTCTGTGAGTCTTTTTTCAGCAACTTTGATGGCAAGATTGACAGGGATTTTGGTAAACAAGGAAACGACATCAAACGATACGAGCACTTGGTCTGCGTTTAGAGTTTCACCTCTAATAAATTCCACGAAATGAGTGGAGTAGACAGTATTCCCAACAGTAGGAGATCGACAATATTCTAGCCAAATACCTCGAAAGATTATGTATAAGTGGAAGAGTTAACAAAAGACACGATAGGTGTCAAAGGTATATTCCCGACTTATGAATCTTCGGCAAGACATACGCCTGTATTCAAAAAGCTTACCCACACTCATACTCATCGAGTGTGACATATAAATTTCGTTAATGCTGATCAATGAGAAAGTTTTTTCTGAATAGATGGAAAGATTTAAGGTAAATCACTGGAAATCAAGCCCCTGTTCGGCTGGAAATACCGCCATTGAAACGTTATGAGAAGATTAAGATCTCCCACTCAATGAGTTTGAGTGTGAGTGAGCTTTCAGAATACAAGCCATAGAATCGCGGAGATAACCGATCGCTACTACGCAACAATTTATAAGTGACCTCGCTAATTTTTTTACCTTTCTTTAAGAACAATAGGCGTTTGTTCAATTCTCTTTCAGTCTTACCAGTTGGGTCAGACCTAAGGACACCTTTTGTCATTGAGTAATGCACTCGCTTTCTCCCGATAGTTTTCTCTGTCCATTACACTGACAACACAAACACAATTGCCTTTATCTGCTGAGAGCACAACCCGTGATCTTCTCATATTATAGGGTTTCCATAGAGGTATTTCTAGTCGAATAAAAGCTTGATTCTCAGTGTTTAACCTTGAATGTTTCCAATGGTTAAGAAAAAACTTTTTCATTGATCAGTAAAAATAAAATTTGTATGTCGCACTCAATGAGTGTGAGTGTTTTCAACCGAGATTTTCCGAAGACGTAATAATTCTGATAGTTTAATTACCTATCATTGGATTTATCGTTCTTTATCGCTATATACGTCATGTTATTACGAATGCAAGACTAACGCCCGTGTTCAAAAAGCTTTCTCACAATCATTGAGTGTGACATAAAGATTTTGTTTGTTATTGATTCATGCTGCAAACTAGTCTTTGATTCTTAAAATCCATTACCAGAAATTTGCGACATGATAATTTGCATGTATACTAATTTGCATTTAACTTTCAGCATAATGGCCTTCAACATTTACTATAAAATATATATAGTAAATATACAAAACTTAAAAATGCCGTTGACCTAGACCTTGCCTACTGTTTGCCGACCTCTAGATCGGTCGAGCAGCTGTTTAGAAACGTTTTGGTGGCCGAATTTTTTTGCTTGGGCATTTCTGTAATCTGCCAAATTTAAAAATATATTGCTCAAAGTTTTATCCGTGTTCTGTCAACGAACTTATAAAATCGCTTACATTGATTCGAATATTTCGATTCAGGTAGTTGATGAATTGACGTGTAATATACCAAAAAAAGTTGTTAAAGATATTGTCTTTCGTATTTGTGTATAAACTTTTCTGTACGGCTCGGATTTTCACTGCAATCACTTTAAAAAATATTATCAGTCTTATCAGGAACTTGAACAATACGAAGGCTATATACACATTTGTTCACAATCAGTTGGCCGAACGTAGAAATACCTAAGATAAGTAATTCGATCATTAAAACGTTGGGAAACGGCTGTTCTATTGACCCAGAGGTCGGCAAACAGTGGGCAAGGTCTAGGGCAACGACATTTTAAGGTTTTGTATATTTATTATATGTATTTAATAGTAAAAGTTGAAGGCCATTATGCTGAAAGTTAAATGCAAATTAGTATAAATGCAAATTATCATGTCGCAAATTTCTGGTAATGAATAGAAAAGTTTAAGATAAGCCACTGAAAACCGTATATATGAGTACGGAAACACCGATATAGAAGCCTTACGGCGTGATTAAGATTTTCCACCCAAAACACGAGTTTGAGTGTGAGTTAGCTTTCAAGATGAGTGAGTTTTCAATCCCAAGGTGCTTATTTATTGTATATATGTTGTAGAGACATGTGCAGATGACTTAGGGGGCCCTACTATCGGCTAGAGCGCCGGCTAAAGCCACAAAATTCTTCTGTATAGCTACAGAATAGTTGCAAGTTTACTTCTAATGTAACCACAATCGCAGCAATATTTTATTAAAGATCAGGGGCCGGTTGTATCAAGACCATTTAGATTAAACGGTGGATAAGTTAAAGTTAAATAACACTTTTACATCTCTCTTGAATGAGTCAACTTGAATATGATGCACTGAATATTATAGCCCCAGGGACCAGTTGTATCAAGCCTGTTTAACTTAAACGGTGGATAAGTTCAAAATAGAAAGCAAGTCTATCGATTTAATCAACAAGCAAACTAATGTTTTTAACCTTAATACAACAATACTGTTTACAACTACATATTCAGTGCATAATATTCAAGTCGACTCATTCAAGAGAAATGTAAGAGTGTTACTTAATTTTGACTTATCCGCCGTTTAATCTAAACAACGGGCTTCGAAAAGAGTGTTCTTTTGATCTAGATCTGCCGCCAATGGCGGCATTAGAGCAACTGATATAAAGTGGAAGACTTACCTAAAATACTAGACTGTTGGCTATTTCGCTGTCTTGTTGTTTTTTAGTCCTTTATACAAGAGACGAAGAGTGAAATGTTTAGATGACGCTCGAAGATATTTATCCACAGGGGATAAAATAATGCTTAATTTCGTAATGCGCTTGCGTTTATTTTACACACGGATGATTTGCCTAATTTCAAATATTTTTTTGAGGCTGCATTTCAGAAATTGCCACAGTTTACATGCACCTCGTAATTTTTTATAATATAACTTGTTGTATACGCATTTCCACACATGAAAATAGAACGTACGACAGCGTATTACGAGGATTAGCCACTGATGAATTACCACGAATTATAGAACACACGAGAATAAGCCGTTCGTGCACTAGGAATCGATTTATCCAGCGTACTAAGGCGTACCATTATGAGGAACGTTGCATGGAATGTGTAATGTTGAGTTAATAAGTAACTAGATAATTAGAATAAGGCGGGAAGCGGAGAACAATAGATAGACACGCATGTGAATAACGTAAGGGAATAGAGAAGATTTTAGTATTAAAGATACAACTTTACATTGGCGACGAGGATAAAATAACTTACTCTGATGGCTACTAGTCTCTTTCAAACACCTCCAATAACGCCGTTTGACGTCGCAGACCCAAATAACGTGAGTATTCGCTGGGAAAGATGGACAAAACGTCTCGAAACATACATTTACGTCTCGAAACATACATTACATACATTATCGCTACAGGGATTACCGATGATAAACAACCGCGCTCTCTGCTTCTCTTCTGTGCTGGGGAAGCCGTCCACGAAATATTCGACAATCTACCTAACTCTGATGAAGCAAAAGACTACAAGACTACTTTGAAACTTCTCACTGACCATTTTTCGCCGAAGAAAAATACGACATTTGAAATATACAAATTTCGTCAAGCTCAACAACTCGATGACGAAAGCGTTGATCAGTTCTATACTCGTCTCCGACTATTAGCATCTACCTGTGAATTTAACGACATTGACA